TTTATGTGTCAGCCGTGTAATTCGACATACCTCTTAGTTGAGTGAATGAAAATAAATGAAGGAAACTTGGGAATTGGAGTTGAAATAAACACAACCAGAATTTGTCATCATTAATCACCCGCCTAAACTTAAGGATCCCTTCTTAAACCAATCATCCTCCGACACATTATACCCCGTTAAGGGGCATAGCCAGAATTTGAAGAAACAGGGGGGGGCGGGGGCGGGGGCGACATATACCCCAGGCCTAACAGCGCTAGGCGGTCCAGGGCCATACTTTCTCAGAATATTTAAAAATACACATGCCTTCTTTATAATCTGAGGTCATTTCTATAACGCAAGTGCGTACCTTTCCTGGATATTTTTTTATTTTATTTGATGGGGGAGGGGGCGACCCCCTTTGCCTGGATACGCCACGACCGCGTCGTCTGGCATTCCAAATGTGTTACATGATCGCCGTTTTGTCACCGTAGTAGCATCTCACGATCTCGTCTTTTCTCCGAGGTCATCACGTTATATAAATAATCCGATTTGGACTCCGTAAACCATGTCTTCAAGTCCGCTGATGTGATATATATTACAAGCTCATCAAATTTGGAGGGAAGATCACGCGTTGTTGCGTTGTGTTTACTAACAAACGACACAGCGGAGAGGGTGATTTTTTAGAACCCCCATGCGCCGGTATACAAACCTCACTTTGGAATAACCTTTTCTTGCTCAGACATTTTACATATCAATTTCATATTTGTGTTGGGTTTGTTTTCGAGAAGAATCAGAATACAGATTTTCTAGTATTGACTATAGTATAGGGATGTGATGGATCTAAATTATTATCATCATTATTATTCTATTTTTTTATAATTATTATTAGTAGTAGAAGTAGTAGTAGTAGTAGTAGTAGTAGTAGTAGTAGTAATAGTAGTAATAGTAGTAGTAGTAGTAGTAGTAGTAGTAGTAGTAGTAGTAGTAGTAGTAGTAGTAGTAGTAGTAGAAATAATAGTAGTACTAGTAGTAGTAGTAATAGTAGTAGTAGTAGTATGATGATGATGATGATCATCGTCATCATCATCATAATTACATTTTAAAACTTCGTGTTTTTTTATTTTTTGTAATCTTGACAAGGTCGTGTTACAATCGTGATTTAGCCGGGGCTAAAACTCAAACATATTAATAGGCAAATAATTCTGACTAGAGTTGTCTCTGGATCCAGGTGCACTAGGCAAATACATGTACGACAAAATTGACGTAATGTGCTGGTATTCGAGCCCTCATCCCCTCGATTGAAAGTCAGTAGACCAGTTTACCAACATATTTAAATTATGAATGAATCTTTGCAGGGGACCTATATAGTGACAAGGTATTACATTAACCTCTTATTAATCATTGAACTACAATACGTGAAATCCAGTCCGCATAAATTAATTGTTGCTATATCGGGCGAGCCTCGAACAAGCATTCAGGTTGTCAAAAGACAAGCTTTGTTTCAAAATATGTTAGTAAATCGGTCTACTGAATGAACCTCGAAACTGCATCCATTGGACTGAAGACTTTTTTTCTTAAATCATGGTTTAACTTTTACATTATGTGTTTTGATAATTTTCTTTGGGCGCATACAACTGTTTTGAGCTATTTCAGATATGCAGGAAAAAGTCCATGACAACCTTACCCGATAGACCTATAACAATGATAACAGAAATTTTCTGAATCAAATAATCGATTTCCCTCTCATTTCGTATTATGACAGAAAGCAAATGAATATGTTATCCACTTGTTCACAATAGAGTTAGCGATATAGTAATATTATTAATATAAATTCAATGTGATTTTCATCCAAGAGTTTAAAATGAAAGATTCATCACGTGACTTTGGAAAACTGAGTACCGCGATAAGTAATATGAATAACAAAATATGAACCGAGAAAGACGAAAATTTGTAAATGAGAATGTTATTAATGCTAAATAGCCAATATTACTCATTGCGGATATAATATCGAAAATAATATCGATAGTGACATTCGTGTTCTTTTGATCCCTTGTTGACCATACATTGCGAGACAAACGAATGTCACTAGCGATATTATTTTCGAGAATGTTATTCTAACAAGTTTCGTGTAATTTTGTATAGTGTTTGACATGAAAGATTTATCACGTGACTCTAGAAAACTGAGCACCAGTAAGTAATATGAAGATCAAATATGAAGTGAATAAAGGCAGATAAAATGGGAAAGAAAACAGATTTTTAGATAGCTGTCAGGATTTGATGTCACCACCTCGTCAATAGTACGGTATTCGACTCGAGATAGACCTGATCGTAACCCGAGTCTTGGAGGGAACATGGTTAGGATAACACTGCTTTTAGGCAAGAAGTATGGTGGAGTTAAAGTGTATCACTCAATATGAAAAAAGTGGAAAACTACCTTGAGTTAGATGAGGAAGAAGGAAGGAGGAGGAGGAGGAGAGGTACGAGGAAAGTATTGGCGGAGCAAAGCAGGAGGGAGGGGAGGGGACGCGGGGGGGGGGGGTGGGTGGGGTGGGGGGCATGTGACAGAAACCATGAACCGTATATTTATCTTCATTACGCATTAGGTGGAAAGTGCCCCTCATTGTGCTCCTATAGTATTGGAACGTGATGACTATAGAGGAAAGAAATCTGGTGTAAGGCAAGGTTGATTTGATAGCATTTTTAAAAATCATGACATAAAATTATTCAAGATTTTACAATGATATCAAATCAATAATTATGCACAGTTTTCTTTGTGCTGCCCTTGGATTGTACAACAATAATAAAACAGAGAATGTTATTTCAGTCGTTGTATCATACTTTTTAGAGGAAAATGATTTCATAGAAACTGTCAGACGCTCACTTTATGAGTGATACAAAATTAATGATTAAACAATTTTTTGTCCGATTTCATTTAAACTTTCATCAGCCTTCTTCCCTGATATTTCTGCTTTCCTAAGAGTAGTTTGCTATCAAAGTTAGATTTCCCTTTAATATCAACTGGTGGTTGGGTGTAGGTGAAGAGCATAGTGACACCTCTCAGGCGATATTAAGTTACTCCGCGGAGTAAGGAACAATCTGTGGGAAACAATTCTTGATATGTTATGGTACTAGCGATCGGGAGAAGAAACAAAAGCTGCGTTCATACTCTATCAAGTTGGCCCATGTTTCTTAAATAAAGTAAGAATCCTTATACGTTGATACGCAACACATCTAAAGATACTCGAGTCAACTGTGGGGAAAACGAAAAACTCAGCCAATACGCCTTGGTAAATTGTATACATGAAAGTATGAGACTATTATGATGTACTTTAGTTTGTGGATAATCATACACATCAGTCAAATCAAATTTATTATTGCGTCAAAAAGTTAAATTACTCAAAAATATGACATCTAGTTGAAAATATTCTATGGGACATTAAAACGAGAACTTCCTTTCTAATTTCTTTTTGTTAAAGGTTGTAAAGAGAAATTTTGTGCAATTTCGTTTGAAGAAAAATAACTTTTTTTTCGTAAGTTTGGAATCATTTTGTTGTTTATCTCGTAGTTTGTTTCATGAGTCTCAAAAGTTTAAATTAGCAAGTGTGAACGAAGCCGTATGGATGTAAACTTTAGGTGACACTGACGGCGTCACGATGTAGGATCTCAGTGTTTGGTTGTGATGGAGCCAGCTCGAAGACAGATGAGGTGATATGATGAGGGACCTTTAGAACCAAACAGGGAGGGAAGATGAAGTCACCAGCATGCCCCCCCCCCCCCGTTTTCCAATATGCCTAACATGCCAAGAATACACTCTCACACTTTGTCCCCTTTTTATTTCAGTTTTTTTCAGTTTATTTCAATTTTCTTATTGTTGTTGTTGTTGAAATTAATGGCGTTTTCAATCAATACTTGCTATATTTTAGTTATAATTTTGAGTAAAGTAAAGAAAATGGGCCAAATCAATGGAGATATCCATCCACATCCTAATTCTAAAATGATTCAATGTATTTCATGATGATATACCATTTCTCTTTCCTTTTACAGCCTTGCTTTATTTCTCGCTGTACCTTTCCCTAATTGTGCTAATAATTTGTGGATATAGTAAAATAATAGAAACAGAAGGTAAATTAACTATCCATCATCTCATTCTCTTGCTTCCATGCCATCACCACCACCCCCCTCTCTCTCTCTCTCTCTCTCTCTCTCTCTCTTTCTCTCTCTCTCACTCTGGCTCTCTCTGTTTTAGGGTGCATTGTATTTTATAAACCTATTTTTAGTTAATTATGTCATTTGGCGTTCAGGAACCTATCCACAACAAGCTCTGCTTTTCCATAGGCTCCGCCACTATATCTACTGAAGGACAACTTTTTTAATAGTGTGTGCCGGTATTGTATGTACAAGTCATGTATATTATAATCATTTTTCAATATGCTGTTACACTCTTTGTAAAATGAGATATTGTGGAAACCAATAAACTATTATCTCTTTCTCTCTCGCTCTCTCTCTCTCTCTCTCTCTCTCCCTGTCCTTCTCTCTCTTTCTCTCCCTCTCCTCCCCTCCCCCCTCTCTCTCTCTCTCTCTCTCTCTATATATATATCCCTCTCTCTCTCTCTCTTCTCATCTCTGTACTTTCATCTTCCTTTCCTCCCCCCTCCCCCAGCTCACCTCCCTCTTCCTCTGCTTTTTGATCCCTAACCTTTTATATATTTACGTTAAATCTGTTTGGAGCCAGAAAGGCGCTGAACATTGTCGTCTGTTCGGAGCAAACCTGAACGCCCTTCTGACACCAAAGAGACGATTAGTATTATGACCTAAAGCCTTTCTGACTCTCAGTGCTAGTCTTAAAGTCAAATGCAAGTGAAACAGACAAGTATTCAACCTGGTCTATAATTATAATGATATATGATATATCTTATAACAAAATGTATATCGAACAGAAGATGGTATTGGATTTCTATATGAAATATTCCAAATTGAAATATTTAATTCTACAACAAAGAAAATAGAAAAACACGTCAATATAGTTTATGAACATTATCTCTGGCAACTAGACAATTTATTTTTCCGCATGAAAAGTATATACAGACAACTCTGAAAAAACGCACCTCTATATCTTCTATTGCGTTCTGTGGCATTATATTTACAGGGTTTGCATAACATAAACATCTATATACCATTGGGGAATTCATTAACACTCACAAATCAAAATTCACCCTTATGTACATTAAATCCTAAAAAAGTTCCAATAACGGACGGTATATTGCTACAACATAAACTATACAAGAAAAGTCTTTCAGTATACACAACATACATCACATCACACAATATACACTGCAATTTTTATAAAAAACAGCTTCCATCATGTTCTGTTTCATACACACAATAAATCCATTGTATTATTGGCCTATATAATCACTTTAATTGTGTATTTCTGATGCAGAAATTTGTTTATAAATGACTTCTTCATTAAAAGATACAATTCATCATTTTTTATATTGATAATGATTAAAAAAAAAATTAAACACAGATTATTTGTTCTGAAGAGAGAGATATTAAAGAAAAGAAAAAATGAAATCTTAGTCTATACTCCTTATTCAAAAGAGTAAATTTGTAAATTAAAATGATGATGGTGATGATTATAATGAAGGGGAAATCAAATTAAGGGTATGCCCGTAAAATTAAATGTAACTATACTTTTATGAAATATCAAGATGTTTCGTAACACCATTTTAAGCAGTTCATATGGTAAAATATTACCAAATTTTTCGTGATCTGTCGAATCATTTGGATATTCTAAAAGTCACCACAATTTTGTTTACGAATAAAAAATCTGTAGGATTTGTTCATCCGGGAAAGGAGAAACAAAGAAAGAAGGGTAGACGTTCTGATCGCATGATTTTACGAATATTGAATATTCAGTCCGAAGGTTTCAAAGATATGAAGACATGAACATGTAATCTCAATAAAAATATTAACCAAAATAAGGAAAATGGACTTTCGCTTGTCTAAGCATGTAACAACATTTGATGCAGAATATTCTTTCTAGCCACCAGTCAAACATGCGAGTCAAACTTTTCAAACTTTCCAAACTTTCTTTTCCTACAAACACTGAAGGAGCAAAGACAAAGCGAAAAATGATTTATTGAGTTGAACCGAAATGGTTCTCTATCGAACTACGGTACCTAACGTCAAAGCTGGTATATACAGACAGATCTTCCTTTTTCTTCCAGCCCCAAATATGCAAGAAAAACTGCATTTATGATTTATGATGATATTTTCATAGAAATAAACAAACCGCAAGTAGCGTCTTTAACCTCAAAGTGCGTCAGTACTCAAACATTATTTTCTCTTCTTTCTTCATCTTTAGGAGAAAAGAGTTTATGACTGACAAGTATCGAGGTAGAGAAAAAGGTCGAAAAAGGGTGTTTCGGCAAAACATAAACAAAGAAATAAAACAGGAATTTAACACACTATATTAATATTTTGATGTGTGGTTTGTAGAATTGTTGTTTGTAATGAAAAGTGGTTCTTCACTTTTCTCGATAATGTTGATTTTGACATTCTTCAATGAGGACGAGCAAGTATTGATAACTGTGAATGAGAAACGAACTTACTGAGGAAATATTTCAAAATCTTGCGTCATAACCATTTCGTCAGTAATCAAAGTCACCAAAAAGAGAAATGCTAAAAAAGAATTGTTCATTTTTTGAACATTTAAAAAATATTTAATTTGATTCTATGACTGACAAATAAAACAATCCTAATTTTCGGGATCAAGAGCAATTTTCATATTCCACTTTATCTTATAATGAAACAAGTTTTACTTGGGACACTGTTATAAAAATAAATATTCTTACTGCTTCTTACTTCTTACTGCCAAATTATCTCATAATTTCTTTTAGAGTGACTTTTGAGTGAAAAAGAGAAATTTGTATGCAAATACATTAGCACCAATACCTTTAGAGTTACCTGATTAAAATGCGTAATAGTCATCCGAGCATATTAGTAGCAAGGCACCGTTGAACAAAACATCAAGTGTATGGATATAGTAATTAGTTCAAGATTAATCCACGAAGGTCAAGCTGCATAAGATTACTTGGAGAAAACAAAAAGATAAATGTTTCCGTGTGAAATCATCATTTTAAAAGTTTAGCGGGAATTCCGGAAACTTCCTTCTTTTCTTTTTTTGGCTCTCTCATTTCCCTCCATACTTCGTTTTTTTAGGGACAGAAACAAAAGGGGGTGTTTAACTAAACCAAAACACCCCTTCGTACGCGCATGGTAATACAGTGCCACCAGAATTCCAATATTATAAATTCTGTTTGGAGTCCGGATGGCTTTTATACAGAGTTAAAGCCCTTCTCACTCCGAATATTGACAATTATAGTGTATTACAAAGATCTAATTATAAGAAGGTCTCTTGTAACAAATTAAGGTGTATTTCTATATGCTTACTCAGTGCCCATAAAGAACACCGTGCAACGCGCTGGAGTAGTGGTACAGCGGGTTGGCGGATGGATGGTACGCCGCGAGCTGCGGGTAAAGATGAGCGATGGATGCTGGTAAGAGATGCTCGATACCCGCTGAAGTAAAACCCAGCGCATGATGCGGATGAGGAATCGGTAGATGATGACTATCTTTGAAGAGGACTTTGACAGCGACTTTCTTGGCCGGCAACGGCGACATCATCTCGACCGCCATCTGTTTTCTCTTCGTCTTATAGCGACGGTTTTGAAACCAAATCTTCACTTGCTGTTCGGTGAGTTTGAGAGCGCCGGCGAGGTCGGCTCGCTCGGGGCCGGACAGGTAGCGCTGGTGGCTGAACCGCCGCTCGAGCTCGAAGACCTGCGCGTGGGAAAAGGCAGCCCGTGATCGCTTCTTTCTTGTCTTCGACGATGACGATTGGACATCGTCGTCGAATCTCGAATCCTGGTCTATTCCTGTTAATGAAACGACAGGAGATAGAGATGAAAGTTTAGGCAAAACACAGCCATAATTTATTTGGTTTACATTTTGAGGGGGAAAAATAATAAATTTGAAGAAGAAAAAAAAGAAATGGATTATTTATTTTTTAAAAGGGACAACAGGCGGCGTTGATAAGATAAGACTCATTTACTTAACATATATATATTTTTTTCCTTCTCAAATGTTTTATAATTAGGGACAAAGTGTTAGAATACATTTTGAGTTTCTTTGTCTTTAGTATAACACTTTATATGGTTCATTGCAGGTAACTTCATGAAACATATGTGTTTTAAATCATCACCTGGGTACATTTTTTCTTCTTCTCCTATAACCATTTTACTCAGGATTTATTTTGTTTCTTTACCGGGTGTCGAGTTTCAACATTCATCTTCACTGCTAAAAACACGATCGCAATTAGTTTCGAAAAATCAACTCAAGAGCAATTCACTTCAATGTAAGTGAGTGATGGATGGGGCTATTAAATCTGCCTTCGGTTAATTTTTCGAAAGTATTTAAAATCCGGTGTTGAAAGCAAATAAAGAGCAATTCTATGCTCCATTTATTTATACGTACTCTTTTTCCTCCAACCCAAATAATCATAATCTTTCTCATCTTCATGTATATTAATCTTGATTTATGAACAGTCATACATGTACTTCGATTCGGGGGATATATCTAAATAAACTCTGCGACGGTCTCGCCGTGTCTCGCGGACCAGTGACGCCATCTTGGTGCGCGTCACGTGAATTCACTTGAACCCTCTCCACGTGATATTTGTACTATCTGTTAGGGGTACCCCGAACCGTAAGACCTCTGGTAGGTCCGTGCTCGAACAGACCGTGTCCAAGCAATTAATATCACTGTCAAGGTGACCACGAAGACAATAAAGGAACTTGGAAATAAAAAAATTACAGATGGACAAGGCGAACGTGACCCATCGCTCTTTGGAGTCTTCCTATTGGTTTTCCCATTTATTTCTCGAGAAAATGAAAGTTTAATCGTATGTCAACAAAGGGCTAGTCGGGTAGACAGAAGATTTCTGTCTTTTGATATTTCAATATTGTGATGTCACATCGCGAACTAGCTATGCGGGGTGGATATAATATGTCTGACAGTCTGAGATGGATCAATTAGAACTATTTTATAATTGTATGTAAAGGAAAAGTTTAAAGCAGACAGCATGAATAACAAATGTCATTTTTTGTAAGTCGTTCCCCTTCCTTTCAAACAAACTGATCGAGGCTAACATATATACACGATAAGAGGACTGGTAATGTTGATCAATCGAGCCTGGAGAACATTGTTTTGCTACTTTTCAATCATTATTATTTCAATTTTGATAATATACTTTCTACAGAAAAAAGCACCTGAGCCGAGGTTGTAATAAGTAAATAACTGTTTTAAAAAAGATGATGTTCTTGACTTGCCTGATGATATCGGTGATGAACAATGAGATGGCGATCGTCGACCTCTCGTCATCTCCTCGTCATCATCCTCAACGATGCTGTTGCCATGGATACTTTGAGAGTCAACATCCACTTTTAAGGAGGAAATTGTTCTACCGTCACGAAACGATTCTCGCTTGATGGTAAAGAGGTCATCGACCGTATCAATATGATCGTCTTGATCATCATCGTCATCGTTGTGGTCGTCGAGGGATTCGAGTTGACGACGAAGGTGACTAGGCGGATGAGGAGGTGATTGAAGACGTAAGGCAAGTCTCTGCTTCTCGGCGAGCATTAAATCACCTGGATGAGAAAAATCCAACGGTTCGTCTTTCGTCGAAATTTTTGTCTGCGACGATGAACGATACGGATGATGACGGGGATGGTGATTATGGTGGTGGTGATGATGGTGTTGTCGCATAAGGTGGTCGTGTGAGATCGGATGACGATGAAGATATTCCCCTTTATGATGAAGATGATGATTAGGACGATGCTTGTGATGATGAAACGGATACGCGACAGTTAGTTGTAAGTTTGACGGTGCCGATGCTGACTCCGATGTTGTATTGGGCGATGACGATGCGACTGAAATGTTGCAGGTCCCGCTGATTTCTTTGGATTTACCAAGGATATCCAAAATTGAAAATGATGTGAGTTTGTTTGAATCCTGGTCCTCATGTTCCATCTCTTCCTCCAAACGATCACTCAAGACACCCCTCTCAATCTTGTCTTCTTTCATGTCTTTGAGAATACTGTGAGTCTCGTTCATGTTGGTCTGAAATGATGCGATCCAAATGGATTCCAATTTCGAAAGAAGAAAATAAAACCGGGAACAGGACACTGTTTCGTGAATTGAGAACTATAGTGATGCTGTCTACTTCGAATACGAGTGACGATTGACTACAGGTCATGAGATATTATATCCACCAAAGTTATCCGAGCAACTTTATCGTCCAGTGAAAGTCGGCCAAACTTTGCTTGAGCGCCTTCACTGTCCAAGAAGCGACGTTTTAACTGACCGATGAGAAGGAATGTGTTGACCATATAGCGCAGAGCTGGAGTCTCTTGACCCCGTAGTTCAGCGAAGAGGAGCTATGATGATGATGGTGGTCTTCCTAAGGCTCCCGTCAATCATAGCATTAATCTGCCCTTATCGCGTTATTCCTCTTTCTTCGGATCTACTCCAACCCTCCCCCTCTTACTCTCTGTCTCATCTTTCAAGTTCGCTACCAATACCACATCCACTTTGACTGTCTTCTAAACTCCACGGCTCTTCAAGCGTAGGAGCACGCACGAGTACGTGTAGGGGTGGGCTTATTCGACAATATCCATTATTCTTGTTGGGATAATCACAACTTAAACTGACAGGCGGTCGGGAGATTGACAGCTCGGCGACCAGCGATTAGGATAACAACCCCCTGAGGGGGCGGAGAGATACCCCCGTGACGTCCCATCAACGCATGCTATTGGTTCACGCGGCGGGGCGGATGCCAGTTCAAACAAAAGATGTAGGGAGTCGAGTTTCGCTGCTCGATCGGCACCCGGTGGAGGTTCACCGGAGTTGTAGGGGTTGTAGGAAGCAGCGAAGTACATGGTTCGTATCGACATGAATCTAATTGGTGCTTTACTTCAGGTGATTACCCAATATCCAACACCTTGCAATCAGATATGACAGGATGGGAGTTATTGACACTCGCTCTGCCGATAGCCGATGATGAAAAACATTGGTACTAAACGTAAAATCAAGGAATTGTGGTAACTCTACAGTACTATGGATTGTCTGATTTCTTTCTCTCTCTGCGGACTGTGCCGTCACCCCTTCTCTCTCCTCCCTCTCTCTCTCTTTCTCTCTCCCTCTTTCCCTTCCTCTCTCCCTCTTCCCTCCCTCTATCTCTCTCTTTCTCTATCGACCCCTTATTTCGCTTCTCTCTCGCTCTCTCCCATTCTCTTTCGGTCTTTGTTTGACGATGTTATATAGGTCACAATTATTATAGATTTCGATATAATAAATAAATAATAATAATAGTGTAAACTTATTGAACGCACACACCTTACAGGGACGCTCATGGCGCCTAAGCCCAGCAACAGTTTAATACAAGTAAATTAAATGTTTATTTTGATATATTATTACATTCAATAACGATTGCCAATTTGATATACCTCACTCCAATGCTGCCTCGGTATCTTCCAATCCCCGGGAAATCAACCGTATAATTTGCATGAGGATTACATAATGATGATGGTAATAATAAGAAATATGAAAACACAAGAATAAATGAAATGGTTTGATATTGTTCATTGTTTCAAGATCTCTCGTATTGTAAACAACAGCCATTTTTTATGCCCAATCTTACTGTCTCGGCTAATGAGGGCGTGTGACCTTTTTGCATACGAAATTCGGCCTCATTATGCTTGATATAAATGAGCCTTGACACTGAAAACGCGCGCAGAAGTGCCTTGAATTTGTTTTCAAACCTATTTCTATTTCCGGATAATACTTTTCCTTAGAATGGAACCGGGATGTCTAGAATACATTTTGCTCTAAACCGATTCAATATGTCGTAATTGGAATGTAGAATGACGCCAATATACTTGAAGCATCATATGGGATTAATAACTGCAGAAGTACGAACTACTCCTCAAGCACATTGCGCACATTTTTAGTATCGCTGAAAATAGTATTTAGTTTATCTCATACCTATGTATTTAATTTTTCGTTGGGGGGGGGGGCAGGTTCAGGGGTCCAATGCAACATCCGAATTGAAAGTAAGATAACTATGATAACCAAAGAAATGAAAACAGCAATTAACAACGATATATGTCTTGTTATTAACCCACGTGAAGAAGGCAAAATGGAATGACTACAATTGACTTAAAACATTTCAATATGTCATTTATTCTGAGTTTTCGCTCACTTAAAAAAAATCTTTCTTAGTTGACGTGACATCGGAACTTATATTTTATTTACAACATGGCAATTTGGTGCCTCATTATGTTTACGATTGTGTGATTCTTGTATACATACTTCTCCTTCTACTTCTTCTTTTTCTTCTCCTTCTTCTTCAGCTCCGTCTTCTTCTTCTTCTTTTTCTTCTTCTTCTTCTTCTACTTCTTCTCCCTCTTCTTCTTCTTCTTTTTTTTATTCTTCTCCTCCTTCTTCTTCTTCTTCTTCTTCTTCTTCTTCTTCTTCTTCTACTTCTTCTCCCTCTTCTTCTTCTTCTTCTTTTTATTCTTCTCCTCCTTCTCCTTCTTCTTCTTCTTTTTCTTCTTCAACTGCTTCTTCTTCTTCTTCTTCTTCTTCTTCTTCTTCTTCTTCTTCTTCTTCTTAATCTTCTTCTCCTTCTTCTCCTTCTCCTTCTAAATACATGTAATCTTGATAGGTCTACGCAGCTCATCTATCCTGCATGTTGAGAGCCAGAAGGATGTCAATCCTTTTCAGTATTTTTTCTTTTTTCTTTAAAATTCAAATTTATTAGGATGTCTTCTGTATTTGTTTTGATGTTGTTAAGAATTTATTCATAATTGTTATTCAATATCATGTTTCACCACAGGGCCTAATGGAAGACCACTTCTTTTGGTGACAATGTGCTACCTTGTATACCAGAAATGGGTAAGTAAATAAAGAGAGCCATAAATGTCTTTTTGTAAATAAATGAACATTGAAGTTCCTATATTTCACTCAGCGTAACAAAAACACGTAACTTAAACAAAGAGGAGTATTAAATTCATTTTATATTCGTAATTGTACTCGACAGTAATTTGAGAATACAAAAGTTGATATACATCGTCTAAATTCTGTCCAATTATGAAAATAAAGTAAACGGAACCATACCAACGATACGTATAGCGAGACGGCATCCAATGTTACTCCAAGAACCGCAGACACTCGGCGAAAATCTTTGACTGATTACAGCAGAAACGTGATACAGATAAAGAGGTTAATTCCCTTTAAATTTGTTTGTTTGGTGGAAAATTGTGATTAGAAATGACATGATGATGAGGAAAGGATTGCGACTAGTCAAGGTTGTGGATGATAATTGGTACTTAGGTCTTCTAAAGCCCAGTTGGTGGTTCTTGAGCAAGTCACGCGCGCATTCCAACTGGTCTTACAGACGAGACCAGTTTAGCAGAGGGGCACTTCTGTCTCGAAAAAAACCCACAATAATTATTATAAAAAAATATATGTCTACAAAAAACGTTTTCAAATCTCCTTGAAATTGCAACAGAAAAATCAAAAGCGACTAAGATAGTACATGAAACAGAAAATACTCTTGAAAGGGGAAGTTCAACCTGATGTGAAATTGGCTTTATTACAAACAAACGGAAACAGAGAACAGATCAGTGAAAGTTTGAGCAAAATCTGATTGAAAATTTTAAAAAGTTTTGAATTTTAAAAGTTGCAACCGATCAAACACAAATTTACAACTCTGTGATATGTCTTGCAAGACACCCCTTCCCCTTCCCATTTACCAATACTATAAAGATCATAACATTTTTGTTTCTCTAAATAAAATGTCCAATCGTAGGCCTACGATCACATAAATTTTACTATTGACGTGAAGAGGGCGGTCTGATCTGTAAACAAAATATATAAAAGAGTCAGGATTCAAGACAAAAATTATTATCGTAATAATTGTGTTTTTTTTTTCGACGTGTGAGAGAATTATTTCTCGACCACGAAAATCATCATGTTGCGATACATGTGCCCTAGATAATTGTAATCATTGCAAAAATCATGGCTTTTCGTATATGCAAACATAGAGCTCAAACAATTTGAATGTATCTTTGGTATAATTTGTCGTTTGTTTAAAAAATATATATAGACCGCGGATGAGAAAATAGCAAAAATCTACTAAAGAAAATAATCTACACGTTGCTGTTATAATTTTAAACAATATATTTTTAAGTCCTTAGAAATATTCGGAAACCTCTTATCCAACAGAAGTCACGTGCAATTTATAACGACGTAAAGAACATTGTAATAAGAAAAATTTTAATAGATATTTGTTACATAGAATCACGACTTTCTGACAGTCAATTTTATGTATAAGCTTTAAACAGGTATTCACATTGGACTTTGTAGCTTTTTCAAGAGACGATGAAGTTCTAATATAGATAAAGGAAGGAATGGAAGATGTTAGCTGGTTTAGTGGTCGGCCCTCTGGTATTCCCAATCGGGTTCGAATCTGAGTCACTCACCTCCACACCTTACAGGTTATACACGTCTGTATACAATCATGAATTTATCAAAATGTATAATTAAATATGCAGTTGATGACACTCAATTCAAGCTCGCAGTGAAACTCGCAAACAAATAGAAAGGGCATTTACCGCAAAGACCTGACTGATAGATTGAAGACGTCTTGAACATTCTTCAAGAATAGATATAGAGTCTGAAACCTCAGACAACACATACTCCGGCTCAGATGGATGCAATCTTGAGTGTGTAGAAGACAAAAAGTTCGATGATTTTATACAGGAGTTTGCTTATACGATAACATTCCAAAGCTACAAGATGTTTTAATATACATATCAAGGGAAGTAATTACACTTGACATTAATCGAAGGACGATTGGAGAGCAAGGAGGAATGAAATCTAAGAATTATGGGAAACAAATGGAAACGGCGAATGATCATAAGAAAGTAATCATCATGTCCGGAACGATAATGCTGGAAGAGGAGGTAAGAGAGGGGGAGGGAAAGGGAGGAAGGGGAAAGAGAGAAGGAGTTGAAGGCAAATGAAAATTATTAGAGAGGAACGGGTAAGGACCAAGGGCAAAGGCTTAGTAAGGTCTGGGAGTCGAAGCCTCCAGAAACTCTGAGGATTGTTGTTTATTTTATTGTTGTTTTTGTTAGTTTTGTTTTGTTTTGTTTCCCCCTTCGTTTTGTTTTTCTTTTTTCCTTGTATTTCTCTCTTTTTTTTAAAGATGAAAAATCGAAGGTCAGTTGGCAGAGAAATGATCTGATGGTTATCAAAACTTTAAATTTTACTAAAATTTTGGCTGGGGGTAAAGATGGGAGAACCTTCTAAGCATTGATGTCACAACTGTTGAATGAACATGACAAATGTTAATATGAGCTGAATACAGTCATAATCAGCTATAAGTTTTGTACAATCAAAAGTACCTTTTCATAATGTACCTTTATTATAGGGCAAACGTGTATTAATCCCCTTTATATCTACGAATGTAAAACTATAATTACTGTCGATGTTTACAATTTATTACTTAATTATTTATATATACTTCAGCTACATTGGGTTTTTTCTTATAGGATTACAGATCAACAAGACAACAACCTTGGAATGGTGGTGGTTATTTTACCTGACTGCTAAGAAAGCATTAATGCTTGTAAGTAAGCAACCAGACGACCGACGGCTTTAGGACCTCTCCGAGGGACCTGGTAATGAGAATTAATGCCTTACCAAAGGGCATTAGCGCATCGCCTTGGTTTCGAACCGATTACGAGACCACTGCTCTACCGACTGAGCTATCGCGCCTCCTCAATTCTTTCAGTTTCAAATGGTTATCGAGATAGATTGTACAGTGGCGTTGACCAAAAGTTAGTTCGAAGTGAAAATGAAACTGGCAGTTTGATTGAAGTGTGAAAACTGTGTGAGGGTAATTATTTTCCTTTTACATCAAAAGGGGGGATGGTAAGAAGAGCAGGAAATATGACAATCGATGTCATACGTGTAATGGACTCCACCAGTACTCTCATTGAAAAAAAGCTATATGGGTGGTCTTTTCTCAAGACTGTTTAGATAAAGTCTTCATGTTGGTCCCCAGTTCAGCTTTCAATCAATCATAGCCTCAAAAATACACCAAAATCATACTCTTTCGTAAAGTCTAAGCAGCATGAAACGTCTTCCACCATTGGTCAGATGTAGGATTCATTCAGCCAATCATGTCGCATCTTGGAGGTCAAGTGGAGAGCAATGACGAGATCCGGTTCTTGATAATCTAAATCTCAAATTTATTGGGGAATTCAGAACCTGACTGCAATGCTGTTTTCTGCTTGATCATATTGGCCCAATAAGATGAAAATGCTAGTTTCTTTTTAAGATTTCAAAATAATGATAAGGATGAAATGAAATTACATGTAGTTCATATTTCTCATCCTCCTGCTTCGTTTTGGGGGCTCAGCAGGCCCCAGCTATTTTTTTGTTGGCGTTATATTTCAATTTTTTGTTTTTTAAATGAAATAACTTAGTATCCGTGAACATCTATTTTTATTTTTATTTGTATTGTTGTATCTAAGTTGAGGGCTGCGGGCACGTCAAGCTACTTTGCTTATTTCTGAAGCCCTCCTGCATCTAATGTATGTTAATTATGCATTCAATATATTTGTTTAAATTCAATATATTTCTTTAATATCGTTTATTATCTGTATAAAATTATATACACTTCAAATATTGTATCAAGCCATATTATGTTCATGAAAATGTATGATGAAAAAAAGAAAAAAGATGCAGAAACCAATAAATCAAATCAAATCAAAATCAAATCAAATCTAGGCCTATAGACAACGGGAGGAGGAAAAAAATGACTAATAGGTCTCTAATCGCAATTTCATCATGAACAAATGGCTACAGAACCTCTGTAGTGCATGAATGTACGGACTAAATGTGAATGAACATAATTTGTGTTGATGTCGACCTAATGGCATATGTAAATATAGAACAAATATCAAATATCAAATAAAATGGAGCCCCTTTCTCTTCTTTTTCAAAAAAAATCCGAACGAGAAACTAGGAACCAATCTTACCAGCCTACTACGTGTATAGTCATTTGATCATATCGGTCATACTATAGGAACATCTGAAATGAATGAAACGAGATTAACTAGATATAAATTTATTTGATTTATTTCATTTATTTCATTTTCAGGAACACAATGAGTTTACAAAATCAAGAAAGAAACCTGAGACATTAGTGCCTTTGGATCACACACAAAACACAAATCGGCAGCGCCGGTTTCACGAGACCGTCATAAGTTCAAGTTCGTCGACAACCCGTTGGAAGTTAAGTTTAACACACGTTTTATTGAGATATCGGCGAATTTGTGTGCATGACGATTTCATGAAACGAACCCCTGTTCCTGTAAAAGCCTCTCATCGTGACCTGACACGTAATTATATCACTATCAGTATATATACCCAAAAAAAATGTAGTAAATTATTCATATAAAATTATTCACAAAACTAATCAATAAGTATAAGGATAATAATCATCTTATAATGCTTCTGAACATATTTTTTTTCATAGGCAATATGAATCAATATTCCATTCATAGTCAGTACACATCAGTGCTGAACAGCAGCGAAATCGAATGACTGGCTTGTTTAGGACTACTCCCGGGGCTACCCCCGAGACTATAGCAGTCAACAACATAACGGTTGAAACCTTGATAAAGCCCCTCCAAAGTGTTGGGAGCCCCCAAAATTTGATGGCAAAAATCACTTATTGTATCATTATATGAAAGATGATGTCATTAAAAACACATTTCTGCAAGAATTTGCAAAACAAATGTGTATGAAGTCAAATACTGAAGAAAGAATACAAATTTGGGGTTTTCTGCGCACAACAGAAAACCAAACCAAATTATTTATTCTTTTATCAATATTTGAATTCAAACACATTTTTTTTTTTTTTTTTTTTTGGGGGGGGGGGGGGACTTTGCAAAATCCTCTTTCACATTATGATACAATGAAAGTGAAATTTTGCTATCAATTTTTTAGCGAAGTTGGGGCTCCTAACACTTTAAGAGGTGCTTTGAGTAGCTATTGTTTGCAATTATTGCACAATATACACGCACACGCACACATCCGCACACATCCGAATTGATTTACTCATTACTGATAGCTATGGGAAACAATAATTTATTTTCATATTAAAGTAACAATAATGATTCGTGAAAATTAAGAATGGATGCTGCAGTAATGGATGCAGCAGTTACATTAAATATAGGGTTAAACAGAAGGTTTCTCAACACGATACAATGGCATGAAGAACGAATGTCGAAACACGTTTTTTTCTTCAAGATATCAGAAAGTTGCAATATAGTTTAAACGTACAAATAATTCACAATAATTATATGTAATAATAATAATGATAATAGTATCCTGGATTTTATGGACAAGATAATGAGGTATGAACATGAATATCGGTAGTAAAATTGCTAGATGATCAACATTTTCTGATCGATTCCACAGCGTTTACTTTTAAAGAAGATATTTCTGAGTTAATTTCTGAGTTAATTTTAATTCCCTGTTTTCATAGAATTACATTTGACGCAGTCTTCTTATGATATATGTTTTAGTTATTGTATATAATGAGGTAATATTCTTGGCTGAATCTTCGATTGAATTAGTCGTGCAGTGGAAAAATGACAACTGCTTCAGAGTTGGATGGAGAAAAAAAAATTGTAAAGACACTCAAAACATGAACATGATGAAGAATGTGAAATCTTGCTCCTTGGGATATGACTATCAATATTTTGTAGAGGGCGCTCTATCAGTTTGTCCGGTGTTCTGATTGATGAGCCCGTAGCAAGCCAAACTGCGTGTTCATGCATTTTCATTTTGTTGGGCCGACGCTTCTTTCAGTGATGTTGCCAATCTCTTCATGCCCTGAAAAACATCAACACAATTGTTTTTTTAATTCAAAATTCTGAAGATCAAAATAATATAAAAACACACAAAATCTGGAGTTGTTTTTAAAGACAGTTGGATACGGAAGATACATGTACATGTAAAATAGTTTTAGATAGTTTTACTGTGCATTGATTTTTCCCTTTATAAGATAATTATTAGAACATCTCCAAATGAGATAGAGAGAGACGGATGGAAGGATAAACAGACAGACGGGGGAGAGAGAAGGGGAGAGGCAGGGATAGGGAATGAGAGGGGAGGGAGAAATGTAAAGAAGAAAAATGGATGGAGAGAGAGAGAGAGTGACAAAAGAGAAAGGGATGACAAGGGAGAGACAGACAGAGACGAAAGAAAAACGTATGTTAGTGATGGTGTGTGCGCGCTTGTGTGCGTGCGTTTGGGTGCGTGTGTGAGAGAGAGAGAGAGAGAGAGAGAGAGAGAGAGAGAGAGAGAGAGAGAGAGAGAATGACAGAAAGGCACTTTTTCCGTGAGTCTCTGAAATGCTACTAGTGTGCAAATGCCTCTCTGAAATGCTACCACAATGCATGACTAATGCTGAATGTACCGCTCACATATTGTCCAGCTTTCAGGCACCTAGCTACCCTAACGAAACGACCTACCTCTTCGAGTTCAGGCTCCGATACATGTGAGAAGGAGGCCCGAAGATAGGGGCAAGGCCCACGCTTCTCTAGGGTAAACAGTCCTCCTGGAGTCATCATAAATTGGTTCTTGATGGCGAAGGAACGGATGAAACTCGTGGAGTCTCCCTCAAGGCCTGTCAACTTCATCCATAGGAACAAACCACATTGAGGAACGACCCAGGTAGCAAGTCCTGGCAAACACAGAGAACGGCGTGTAACAATAGAGAAGGTGCATCACTTATGGGGCGTTGCAAGAAAGTTGCAATCAATAATATTGCACATCCCCCAAAATCAAGTATAAGTCTTGCGATTAATTACAAATTTGCAATATTATTGATCGCAACTCAACTTTCTTGTAACGCCCATTTATAGTAAGAGAGAGAGAGAGAGAGAGAGAGAGAGAGGGGGATAATAAACGCTAGATCTAGTTGACTAAGTTTAATTGTTAAAACTTTAATCCTAACAAAATCCTATTGTCGAAAAATTATTAACGCAAGGACAATATTTCAATTGTGTATTGAATATCCCATAAAAATAATATTCAGATAACGTTATTCGTCATTGTCATTTTCGCACATTTCAATGAATGTTGATTTTTCGAAACTCTTTTCGATCGTATTGTGTGTGTAATTGTGTTTTTACAGACGTGTATCAATCAGATATGATTATTTACGTCTAGAGACCGATCTTTAACGTCACCATCCGAAAGACGTGACTCTGTTTCGAACCAGGGTCTCCCTGAACCAGTTTGTAGGCGAAGACAGAGAGCTGACCAGGTGCAAATACCGCTAGACCAACTCAATCTCACATACGGGAACAATTTGAATGGGATGGCGTTGGTTGGGCAAAAATGTAAAAAAATTGTATCCTTAAATTTATATTCAATATCTATTTATTTTTACTTTTATTCATTATTATTCTAGCAAATATTTAGATTTACTATAACAGGTATTTTTAGCGAAGTGAAATGCCCTCATCATCGTATAACATCCCTACTTCCAGTAGCATATCCAGACATATTTAGTCTCATAATAGCTCAGCACGGGGGGGGGGGGGGGAGGTGCCTCCCAAACCAAATGCTAAACATGTTTTTCTAACACGATTTTATATATATATATATATATATATATATATATATATATATATACATTTTTTTTTTTTTTTTTTTTTTTTTTTTTTTTGGGGGGGGGCTTTTTCAGTTGCAATCTTTCAATCATAATCTCAAAAAAAATAATGATTCCCAAACTTGTTAACTATAGGACGCCTGTATTCCCATTTCCTGTTTGAAATCCCGTCAGGAGGAGCAACCCCCCCCCCCTCTCTCTCTCTCTCTCTCCCCTTCCCCCGTCATTCCTTAAAATACACCAGTGCCTACACTCCCACCCCATCTCAAAAGAGATTTTGTATTTACAATGTATATCTGATTCTTGTTATCCTGAATAAATATATTTCAATAAAAAAATAAAAAATAAAAATCCATAAAGTTGCACCTGTGAGATGGGTTGTAGCAGCCTGGACCGCGGTGTCTCGACGGCGCTGGTAGAAGTCCCTTAAATCATCGGCTCGACGTAAGAAACCCTCTATTCCCCATTGTCTCACAAGCTTATTCACCACCACCTTTAAAATTAAAAAAAGTTGAATTTATCAAAGAACGAATTATTTCTAATCTAATTAAATCATGATCGTAGGCATGCATGAGAGGAAATCGGACTATCAACTAATCAGATTAATAGTAATGATAATAAAAAATGAATTTATATAGCACTTAAAGTGAACCGGTACCATTGTTGAAGGTTGATGAAAAACTGCGTAATTTTTGTTTTATTTTTGTTTTACCCCAATTTATGGAATTATTTTAAAATAATTTAAAAATAATAGATCTAGATAAAAGTATACATTCTCAGATTTTATTGAATAATAATTTGCAAATGTGTGTTTTGCGTGACTGCTAAATCATGTGTATGCTTCTATGCTTATCAAATAGGGGACCTACGCCCTTAAGTCATAAATGACAGTAATGAGGATTAATGCCCCACAAAAGGGCACTAATAAAGCACATCGACACGGTTTTGATCCTTTTCATCGGCTTTTGTGCAATACTGAAAATAAAATGAAACATTCCTTTATATTTGTATTCTATGTTCATTCAGCTTTCCACTGATATAAAGTTGTATTTTTCATCGGATAGTCTTTACACATGTTTCTGCCATTGTCATTAAAATTAGCTCTGCTAAATTATTAACTGACGTATACATACCTGTGCAAAGATGCTTGCATGTTGGACTGTATATTGTAGCTCGTAGAATATACGTGTTACTAGTGCACAAGGTCCAGACAACCAGCCTAGTCGGAACCTGATTACAAATCAAATTAATACCGCTGATTGATGGCTTAAATGCAGGCACGTAGCCAGAGTTTGATGTTTTTTGGGGGGGGAGGGGGGAAGGACACATACATGACTTGTAATCGATCGACGTCCTGGGGAGGGGTCTAAAAAAGTTCAGCCGATCTTGGAAATTTGTTTGGGGGGCACATGCCCCCCCCCCCCCCCTCCCCGTGGCTACGTGCTACGTGCCTGCTTAAATGACAGGAAGTCTTACTAATTATGTGCTATTCTATTGACTTTCTTAACGTTATATGATCTATACAACTAACAAGACGTTGTCGTTTTACTTGTAAACGAATATTCATTTCAAAACAGTCAAACTAAACCATCAATTCCAAAGATAAAAGTCGGTGTCATTTGTTTATATCTATAATGATCTAATTTGAGCTGCCTCGTAATATGTAATGTAGAGGCGATTTCAGTAGGTTATGGGGGTACATAATTATGAACCCATGAAATTTCAAATAGTTTTTGTTGTTGCTATTATTTCTGCATTATGTTACTATTTTCTATAGACTTTTGAGATATAGAAATGGCTCTGAAATATTGTTTGGTTGAGTACCTTTCTTTAAACTGTCAGAAAATGTGGACACAATGTGCCCCCTTTGGTGAACATTCTTGGCTACGCCTTTGGTTGTGATTACTTAGTGGGCCTATACTTACCCAGCACCTATCACTTTCGAGAAACTGTCACACCGAATAACTCTGCCGTCAACATCCAAAGATAAGTAGGACGGAATTCGAGGCTAAAAGGAAGAAGAAGAAAAACAATGCTTGTAATACCGTGATTATTACCAAGGTATATTATGTGAGTCATTAGATATGAGTCGTTAGATAAGTGACGAATCGTTGCATGTTTATATTCAACTTTATTTGTGAGTGTTATTGTGATAATGAACAGTATCTTGCCTGTAGACCTAGCTCACTAAGTCCTATCCGAAGGACGTGGTAATTGAGGATTCATACATCATATCGAAAGGCGCAAGCTTCACCTTTACCTGACCATTTACTGAACCGATCGGCGTTATTATTCTTAACTTTTTTATAAAAGCATATCTGAACATTTCAAGTCAATGATGGTGCTGATGACGATTATGATGACGATTATGATGATGATGATGATGATGATGATGATGATGAGGATGAGGATGGTAATAATAATGAGAAGAAGAACAGGAAGAGGGAGAAGAAGAAGAAGAAGAAATGATGATAATGACGATGAGAGAAAAGGAGTAAGAGAGGATTGAAGGGGAGGCATGGAAGAGGAGGCAAAGAAGGAGAAAGGAAATAATGAGAAGGGAGAAGGGAATTGAAGAAGAACATTTACAAATACTGAGAGATATTGATAAGATTAGAGAAACGCAATACCTCGTTGAACTGCGTGAAATAGTAGGAGTCATCCTCGATGATGATAAAATCATATTTCTGTGCGAGGGCGTATATCTTTCGTCTCTTTTCCAAAGACGTTGTTTTTCCCGTTGGGTTGTTGCCGTTTGGTACTGTATACAGCACCTTAGGTCTCTCACACCTGACATAGAAATAACATCAAATGAATAAGTAGAAGCTTGCAGTATGGTTGCAAAATATTATTTAACATTCTAAGTATTATGAAATGGAATATAAATTTGTAAGAATTACCCATACAAGGTAACTTTGAAACAGTCTAACAGTCTGTTTCGACTGTTTTGAAGGTACCGGGTGTGGGTAATTTTACTAATACCCGAGCAAAATGATCTGTATCATTTGTTTTATAAGACTATGTTTTATTTGTTTTATAAAATTATGTTGTATAACATGATTTTACTAATGACCGGTCATTAGCCAAATTACGCGTTAGGTAAAATAAAAGCCTGGTCACGTGTACGCTCTCAACCAATCATTTTATTAGGATCCACGTCATCATCTTATAAGATATGATAATAATTTTGTTAACCAAAAAGCCTCACGAGCATCAGTGCTGTTCTTCCTGAGAGCCTTGCAACCATTATTTACATCTTACCATCTTAAATCTGTTTAAGGGTGTCATTCCGCATTCAGTCACCTAAAACCTAAACTGATGGATTAGGGGGCTTTAATATTTTCATTTTTTTCTATTTTGACGCTGGATATAATGTCACCTGTATACGCTAAATCCCCTTATGTATGTAAAGTTTGCTTACAAGCTTACCATCATCCCTCTCGCCCCCCCCCCCCTCCCCCCCCCCCCCCCACCAAAAGGGGGGGGGGGGGCTGGCTAAGGGATGGTTTAATTATTTCTCACCATTTCTGTTGATCAGTTGGATCATACTGAGAGAGTATCTCTTCAAGCTGCTCGATGTTTAGTCCATCTTCTTCAGATTTCAAGGAAATAGTCACTGCCTCACTACGTCGTAGCTTCACAGAATCGGGGTTTAACGAGATAGAAAAATGTGAAACGGGCAGGTAAAAGGGCAAGTCCGTGAATTTGGTCATTTTTGCGTCCCATATATTACAAATTTTATCGGAGGAATGACCGTAACAGACATTGAATTAGGACTGAATATTTCCCTTGATCTTGAATTTGATCCGTGCTAAAGTAAGTCACGTTCATGCAATCATCGGGGAGATGACGCAGTTGTAGTTATATATATATAGTTGTAGTTGTATTTATAGTCTGCGGATCATAGTAATTTGGTTAAATTTTTCCATACCCGGGCAGCTTGACAGGACGCACCTGCTATTGCAATATATTTATATATATTGATTTTGTCTTAATTCATGTTTATTATTTATGTGACTTGATTTGACAAATAAAATAATAAAAATAATAATGATAATAATAATAATAGTTATATAGTTATGATTATATAGATATACATGTAGTTATTCATAGTTCTATAGTTATAACTGTTAATATATGCTGTAGATCCCCCCCCCCCCCCAATTTCTACAATATTTCTAAAATGCCCTATCCATCGGAGGACACACGCTAGGCCACTAATTAAATTATTGTATGATTCTGACAACATTGTTCTCACTATTTCTGTAAATGTAGCATAGAAGTAATCGCCGACAAGAACTTTATCACCGGGGTTCACGAAAACAGACACAGCCTAAATAAAAGTAAAAAAGTAAACAAAAATATTATACAAATATACACTGCCTTGAGAGGTTCTGGTTAAAACTATGCGCAAGAGGTGACTCCAATAGTACTATTTGCTGAGGGGCGCAGCCCCGAAGCAAATGGTACTTTTGGAGTCACCGAGGCCCATAGTTTAACCAGTACTTCGAATAGAAGGCATGGTATATTTGTTTTATATCCTGCATCACAAAATTTTTTTTTTTTTAAATATATATATATATTTTTTGGAAGAAAAAAATTTAGAACAAAAAAAATGTCAAATTTTATCTAAAAAGATTTAAAATATTTTGTTTTCATTAAATTAAGATTTGAAAAAAAAAATTGATTCAATTCAAAAAAAAAAATCACATTTTTTTTTCAACTCCCAAATAGTAGACCAAAATAGTACTCTCATATAGTACTTTCTAAAAATAGCTCAAATATTTTTGGTCTTGTGACGAGCTCTCAACTAATCAGAAGCCAACGAATTTTTGATGCAGGATATAATGAGTGATATAGATTATTCGAATTGGCAATCAGGGTATTGAAATGTCAAAACCAGTTTAAAATGGCGTACGTTGATCATCAGCAACTTTACTATCTCCCTGATTATCGTCATCATCGTACCATATCATCATCAGCAGCAGCAACAGCATCATCATCATCATCATCATCATCATCATCATCATCATCATCTTCTTCTTCTTCATACCATCATCATCACCATCATCATACCATCATCGCCATCAACATCACCATCATCATCATCATCATCATCATCATCTTCTTCATACCATCATCATCACCATCATCATCACCATCATCATACCATCATCGCCATCAACATCACCACCATCATCATCATCAATCATCATCACATACCACCACCATCCTTCTTCCCCCTTCTCTCTCCCACTCTCCCCTCTCTCTCTCTCTCTCTTCTTCTCTCTATCATTGTGATTGATATCTCTCTTGCTATCTCTGTAGATCCCTCTTCCTCTCTCTATCTCTCACTCTCTCTCCCTCTCTCTCTATGATTTCAATATCTCTCTCTCTCTCTCTCTTTCTATCTCTCTCTTTCGTACTTACTCCACTGATGCCCTGGATCCCTCCACAATTCACGATAACCCTCAGTGCCTTCTCCTTGTTCTCATCCCCATAGGTCGGAGGATGATGCAGCTTTACTGTCAGCTCTGTCAACCATTCACGAAACGGGATGATCCTGTCAATGTAATAATCATATAATAATAATAATGATAGTAGATCACAAGTTTATAATTCGCCTAATACTTTGTTTCTAGGAGCAACACATAATACGCCGGTCGTCGTGTTCAGGCTTACCCGCAACACAATGTATGTACATTTTCCACTCCCATTTTACAAGCGCCACTCGCTAATCCAACCACATTAACTTTTGCATCCTACCGGGTACCCATTTAACACCTGGGTGGAGAGTAGCAAATGTGGATTAATGCCATGGCAAGGGACATAAGTGCCGCGGCGGGACTTGAGTCGCGGACCTTGCAATGATCCACAGTCCGGTGAAATATCCACTCGACCACGACACCTCTACATTCCGTTCTTTATAGCGCATATCACATAACATCTCTGTATGCGCTTCCAAACCCGTCTAGCTCCAGCAACGATAGAGCTCAAGGTGGATTCAAGGAATAAATCCTACCAGGTACCCACTTACTAAACCTAGGTCGAGTGTGGCAAATGTAGATTAATATCTTACTTATAAGGACGTTATAGTGCTAGGGCAGGGCTTCGAGCCCCGCACCTCGTGGTTCACAGTACAAAGACATATCCACTAGACCACAACACTTAGACCAAAAATATGCAAAATCATTTCACTGCCACTAGTCAGGTTAGTATACGCGCTTTATCCCGAGGATACTATAGGGTGTTATTATTATCCTGTTTTAGACGAGCTATCCTGATAATGCAGTCAAGCATTTAAAGGATGTCTTCTTCTTTTCTTTTCTTTTTTTTTTTGGGGGGGGGGGTAATACATCATCATCATCATCATCAACATTATCGTAATCATCATCATTAACATCATCATCGTTATGATCATTATCATCGTTACGATCATCATCGTAACCATTAGCATCATTATCATCAGCATCATCATCATCAGCAGCATCATCATCAGCATCAGCATTACATTTTTTTTTTAAATACCAACTATACTACCGAACAAAACACCTTCTCGTGATTATTTCCCTCCATGTCCTGTACATAATTTTAAGTGATTATAGAGATAAGAATAAATAGGGTTACCCATCAGAAAGATTATATTGCTGGGCTACTCTCATATCTGACTCATCCAACTCCATTGTTGCTCCATCTCTGAAATGAACAAATAAAACATACCATTACGAGACACAACATTTGCTCATTTTTAATAATATTTTTAAAAATAGTTTTGATTCCCATGTTCTATATATTTATATTATTAACAATATGGATTGCTTTCAGTCATCGCTTATTGTGGTTGATATTCATTATGTATATATTATTCTGAAGTATTATGATATTAATTATTTTGTACATTGTATTCAAATATGTTATTCAGAGATTTACTTTCAATAAAATGGCCTGTCGGTGGGCCCAAAAAGTTGGGAAAAGAAATTGCTCCTGCATCAATCACCCCGGGATCAATTTCGTCAAATGCATATAGGGTCAGAGAAAGCCGAGTTCTGGGAAAGGTGGACACAAATGTGTGTGTGAACTTTTTGTTCTTTTTATGTTAGCGTGGAAGAGAATCATGGAAAAAATGTCCCCTGAACCGAATTGTGCTTCAATACCCCTCATATTCGAAATATGACAAGTAACAGCTCAATTAGCTGGTCGACCACAACTTTCATGCCACATCTTTGCGTCATGATCAGCCATTTCCAATCTCTTTCACATCGTTTCTTTCACACTGTTATCGCAAGACAAGATTTCTGGCTAGACTAAACCGACGAATTCTGTTTTGGAAACAATCAATTGTGAAATTCATGGTATATTGTGAGTCCCATAATGATAAAGACCCGAGAAAACATTTTGGAAACAATAAAGTAATAGTAAGATTCATCATTGACCTATTCTTTGCAGGTCAAAACGTCCATGGTCTCATAATTATACGAACCTGAGATTGAACTTTGCTCCAACAAGATACGTCCGATCATCGTTAGGTGATCCAGGGACCATGTTAATAACAGGTTCAGAACTCTCCAGGGCCATCTTATCTAAACGGTCAACCGGAAGTAATTATCGAAGGTGATCAATGACAAGAGACACTGGTGGTGAAAGTCAAATGGCGCAGCTACAAGGGAGGTATAGGGGCACTGTGCTTTTACTTACAGGTCCCCCCCCCCACCGTGCCAATGCCCCTCAATGGATGGATCCATGCTACGCCAGTGTTACAGTACAAACAGTCATACCTGGGGGATCATACGCCTTTTATTTTAATAGTATGAATCTTTAAATATCAATATTTAAACGTTAGTATGTAAATGTTAATCCCCTTCCTGGCTACATCCACCCCTATATATAAAAAGATCAATTTTCTTTATCCAATGTGGAGAGTAGGAGTCAAACAAGTTAGAGAAACGAGGCTCCTGCATCGGAGGCTTTCCGTTGGTAAAATTTCCATAACAGGAAACCTCACCCCAAAGAATAAGTGTAGGTATTCTGGAAAATGAGATGTATTCCTGCCCTTTGATGTACAATATCCCTCACGAAAATGTACAAGAGATATTATGTACAAATTTAATGGAGATATTCTTGGCATCATGTGATGCCTTTTAGCATGACATGGGCGCAGCCATTTTCTTGAAAATGTGGCGTATCAGTTGAAGTTGTGCATGCACCAAGCTTTAGTTGGAACGACTTTTTAAATCAATAACAAACCTTTACTTTTCAATGATGAAAAATTACAGCTGAAAATACTTAAATATAATTTCATTTAATTTATAAAGACCTTCAGCCCAGAAGAGCACCAACCTATTTATGCAATTTGAGTTCTGGCACATGACCCCGAAGAGGTCACTTTTAAGTACTGTGTGAAGTCGTTTATAAAGTAAATGGCCCGAATTCACAAAGCAAGGTTTGAGCTCAGACCAAGGTTTGACCTCAAACCTCCTTTTGTTTCGCCAAACCTCCTTTTGTTATTTACAAACCTGGTAAATAACAAAAGGAGGTTTGAGGTCAAACCTTGGTCTGAGCTCAAACCTTGCTTTGTGAATTCGGGCCATTTACTTTATAAACGACTTCACACAGTACTTCACGTTATTAAGAAAATGGCGATGCCCATGTTGTGCTGAGAAACTGTACATTATTCTTGCTTTAAGCCTCTCTCATACACTTTTTTTTTTGGGGGGGGGGGGTCTTGAAGATAATAAACCTGTGCGACAGCCGAGACAAGTCGTATGGTGTTGATCCATCAAATTCTAGAAAATTCATTGTTCTACTCCAAGGACTGGCCCGGGTAGCTCTGCTTTCTTTAAAAACTGTAGCAATTCCCCTTTGATCAAAAGACCTACGTGTAAATCTAGCCTCATTTTCTTAAGTATACAATTGCCATTACTGTAAATCAAGGAGTGGATTCTCCGAGTCTGAAACAAAATTGAGAAATGTTTGAGCCGGGCTCGGCTTTCCAGCAATCAATACAATTATTGTACATTGTTCTACCTAGTTAAGTATTCGGGCGAATGGAAATCACATCTGGACCGTCAAGCGAAAAGTTAGAGAACCAGGCCTGTCCTAGATAATGTCCCTGGTGTAGATGGCAATGGACGGCTGCGGAAAGTATTACGTGTGTACTCATCATATTTATCAATGACAATTGTCAATAATAAAAAGAAACTATTTATAAAAGTGCTGAAACTGCATAATGTTATTTTCGTAATAGTGATATTCCAGATACTTACGGAACAAGCGGATAGGTGACGGTTGTGACAGCACTGCCCGTCGAGTCAAAAACTTGTCATAATCCATTGTTAAGGTGCTGGGCGTTAAATCTTGCTTTGTTGCGGTTTGGTGTCTTGAGTGGACGAACGAACAATCAGTAAATGCCGTGGAAGATCTTCGTGACATGTACACCTTTAAACAGGACCAAATTTATTTAAAGATGTTTTATCTTGTCAGGAAAGACCAGAAGACAATAATTACTTCCGATCCAATACGGTAATAGTGCTGAATCATGCAGTACAACGACGATGGAGTAGGCATATACATTCACACCATAACGATGTGATGTAGTAATGTAATTTGTACCTTGTACTTTGGTTTGTAGGCTACTACTAGGTAATCAAATACTTTCACAGCTTTAGTATGAAGAAGGGGGGGGGGGGGTGGGGTCACCATCCTGAAATGGATCGTTGACAAATACAAGTCTGAAATGTAGCCACACATAGCTGCTTATATAGACCCCACCCGAAAAAAATTAGGGGGGGTCCCCTCTCATAAATATTATTTTCTTTATATTTCTAAAGAGCAATGTTTTCTTTTTTCGCATAAAAAATACATTGTATCTGCTTGTATTCTGTTTAACCCTTACTGTACTGGGCTATTTTGAGCACCCGCTGACTGGGGGGGGGGGGGGGCCTGGGAGGCCCCCCCCCCCTATGATCTCGGCCGTCGAATGTCCGATGAACACGAAAATTTGCATATTTGTAGATATTTAGGTAAGGAACAAGATGGTATAATTAGTTTTTTCCTAATATGCAAATTTTTCTCGTTATAGCCTAATTAATTATGCAAAATGCTAATTTTATGCATTTTACAGAAAACTCTACATATTTGTCCGTAGACTTGTGAAAAATCTTGAAAATGTATTGAATTAATGTTTCCTTCATCTCAAATTCATGAGGTTTCATTATTTTTATGATATTTGAAAATGCATAGGTTAATTTGCATAAATTATGAATACGCAAATTACGCATTCATGAATATCAAATCTGGAACTACATTTAGGGAACCAGAATCATTACAAGAATTGTCAGACTTCACTTTTTGAATGTTGAAACTCATTATTCATATGAAACATCTTTTCTAACACAAAATAGTTATTTGATGTAATTAATAATGATAATTTATGCCAATTTGATGCGATTTTCAACTATTTATTTTCTTATGTATTTTATTGTTTTTTATTTCTTATTATATCTATTGTTTTATTTCTAATGTATTCTTTTGTTCTGGAATACATCAAGTTACTCTGAGAAACATATAAAAGCAATTTGATATCAATTCATATCTTCACATTTCTGCTTGTACGTGAATATATGCAATTATAGCACTTTTTTGATGACATGCGCATACTAATTGTTATGTAATACCTTACAGGTATATCCGATTTTGACGAAAATGGTATCAAAATGTGCGCAAGACTAGAGGGAAAAAAGTCATGAAACGACAATTCAAAATTCCAAGCGGTTTCGGCGCGATCTCCGAAAATGTCGAGGGGGGGCCTCCCAGGCCCCCCCCCCCCCAGTACAGTAAGGGTTAACATACACATGTTCACCCAATGTTGTGTTCATCAGCCATTATAATAGACCTATGATTATTTTTCCGTATTACTGATTGTAACGTATAGGGTCGACTTTTATGCCCTTCCAAATAACTGATTTGGCTTTCCGCTTTCCTGTCAATCCGTGTTGTCTTGATAAAGGCGCAAGCTGAAATGACCCCTAAAAATTTCCTTTCTACTTACCGAAGTTCTAGAGTCATATTCGATTGTACTCCGGGTTACTTGTTCCAAACAACGGAGCCTGTGCATGAGGTTCACCGCGAAATCATTCAAGCAACGGGCTGAAGCAGCTATTCTGTGTTTGACGCTAGTACGAGCCTTTTTTAAAAGCCAAACTTAAGTTGGACCTATTCAATCCAATTAGGCATGTACTTTAAATCCATTGAAATAAATAGAAGGTTATATGACATAAAACACAAAGACAAATGTTGGGAAATGGAATATGAGGTCAGTGCAAAAAAACATTACAGCTTATAGAAAGGGACAAACAAACAAATTAATAAACAAAGGTATGGTAAAAGGGGTTACTTATTCGTTAGTTGATAGAATAGTTTAAGCTTGTGTTTAAAAATATTTAAGATATGGCATTAAGAAGATTAAAAGGGGAAAAAAAAGACATGTGGGGACAAAATGATCTAAAACAATCCACAGCATCATTTTATTTACATTCCATTCTTGGTATTCATATATACTTTCTGTAGGGGAACGATAAGTTAATATTATTTTTTTAAAGATAAAAATGGACATTAGATATTCGTTCGTTTTGTTTTTTATGTGTAGCATTTCGAGATACAGAAATTTGCTATCCAGTGTCGTTATCGATTAAAAACTCTTGTGCTTAAAGAGTTGATCTGGAATTTCAGCTGAATTTAAATGTTGCTGAAAAGGCAATCCAACCTTTGTAATACTATTAAGTTTATGTGTATGAAAGCAGAAAAGGAAGAGAAACATAATAGCGAAAATAGCAAACTTTCACCTGTCCGCTTCTCTGATTTATCTGCTTTATTTTGAGTATTAATTTGTCCAATGGGTTTGGATTTTCCTTTAAAACTAATTCAGCAATATGTATATAAAATCTGTTATGTTTCGATTTCCGCATTAAAAAACAAAAATTCTGAACCTCAAAGGCCATTCTGCGACTCACATGGGAGGCTGATTAATATAGATTTCCTTTTCGCTTATGATACTCAGATTGCGCTTTTGTGATTACATTTAAGTGAGGTGGTTTTGTAATACATGTAATACCTTTTGTTGACAATTATTAATACCATCATAGCCATGATGGTGTAGGCAGCAAGAAAGACATACAGGGGCAAGTTCCCCCATTATCTAATCATTGTCACTGATTTGAGGGTTATATCCTATCCCACCGTCCTCTAATTTCATTCTTTTGCCAATACATGTATAAAACATTAATCATAAATCTCAAAGTCGTATTTTGAGAAAGCAAAAGAGGTCATTTTAGTTATTTAAACAATGTTTTGTATCACTATAGCTTATGTATACTTTCACACAAAATTGTGTAATACATTTCAGTGTAATACTTTTTGGGATACGAAAAAGCAATAAATCTTGTACTGTAATATGATTACAGGGCCCTCAGGGAGAACAGTGTGAATACTGATGAGGTAAACAAGACATGTTATTATTATTATTATTATTATTATTCGTGATAGCAAACAAACAAACAAGAGGTCTCTGTAGGCCCTATATTGGAGCTTATCATTTAAGAATAAAGTCTCGCTTGCAACGCTGACACTAAATATGACCACACCCTTTCATTTCTAAACTGATCGGTGACATCAATGGCGAAGATACTAGGGAGCTGGGGTGCCCTGCAGGCCTCCCTCGAAGAAAAGCGGGAAATTATTTAAAGGGAAATTAAGATATCGAGGAGAAAAGGAAAAAGAAAGAAAGAAAAAGCAGGAAAGAAAAGAAAAAAGAAAGAAAGGGAGAAAAAAAGGAGGTGTATGGTTAAAAGAAGATGGTGACACCCTTTCCATACCCTTGCTCAAGTCGACTGCCTCCTTCTTTCGCATTTCATTAACTTACAAGACGTATGACCGGTATCCCCCCCCCCCACCCGCCCATGATACCAACACCCCTTCTATTGCTAAAACCATGCTATGCCACTGGTTGATGCAATTTGTTTCTCGTTCCGCCAATTAAGGAGACTTGATTGGTGTTATAAATTAAGCCTTTTTACCTCGCTATAAATCACGTATAGATGAGAGTCCTTGCACATTAATGCAGTCAGTGCATGGAATAAGCCAGGAATAAACTTATTCATTGCGTCTCTGAATAATTCATTACAATATCTATCATTAGACGTCATGCTTTACAAAATAGCTACTGGTTAATAGCGGTGACTGTCAATAATATATATGTTTTTTTGTGAAATAAACCTATTCACGCCGGGGTCTCTGAAGAAATCTATCACTATGAACGGCATCCTTTACAAATCTACTTGCAGCGATGACTATATTTTTAAGACTGGGCTTGCTATTTTCTCTCCAGAAGGAGAAGGCTGTTTTCACTCCAGTTATTTATGGATACGTTGACGAAGAAACATGGGAAACACCCAAAAGATGCCATTTAATCTGTTCATACAATAACGCATCTATTTAGAACCATTTCAACCTCCTTCTATCGCAGTAATTTGGCTTTCCCTGAAACTACAGTAGTCCAGGGATTATTTTTTTTTGCAGCTGACAACGAATTATTATGCATATCGTTGGTCAATAATTGCGGACTCCGTGTTTAAAGGCGTTTTACCACCGTTGTGTTTACGTCAAATGGTATTTCCTCATCAAGCGTTTTATTCCAATCAATCGATTTTTGTGTCAACAACGTTTTCCGAGAGTCTAGCTCTCTTTTAAATAATAAAAAAAAAACCTCCTATACACGCTATACAGCATTCTTCTACCTATAATATGCGAACATAGTATTACCAGGGTAGTTTTGGAATGGATCAAGCATGCAGAGAGCTTTTGTTCAGCAGAATCAGTGAAGTGGAAAATGTAAAGCAATGATATTGTGGACTTTTGTCCCCACTCTGTAGTACGATTCTGCATTGATTTTTTGTTCTCTCTCTAGAACGAATTGCTCTTTTCCATGAGGGACATTGAGTAAATACCGACTCACAAAGTACACAATAATCTCTCTGCCTGGGCCACGGTGGGTAGGTAAAGCAGACAGAGAGGTGTCGATCGTACGCCCTGGTTGGACTCTGGACTCTGGATACTTGGGTTTCTTTTGACAAGAATGGCGGGGGCACGATGGAAAAAAGTTGGACTTGTCATGTCATTTGCGACAATGATTAGCGAGGAGGCAGCTGCTACTCATACAGAGGTTGTCATAGATGACATAGAGAATTCAGATGAGTTGATAGCACCAGTTAACAGGTATGTACTTTTGTCATTCTTTATATTTACAGGCAGGTATATAATTATATATACACGTTTAAAGGCGTATACCAGTCTATACTACATTGTATCTTCCATAATGTATAATTAACTACTCTACTAACTTGAATTATACGACTATCGCGACTTTTATGATTCCCTTATATACTACTTTTGTTTCATTTTCTCTTCGATGGCGAAAAACTACCTTTTCGTTTATGATCAGTTAAATTGAAATCCTAACTAAGTTGTGACCTTTTAAATTGGTAGATTTGTTAGTAATGGTGACCAACTGATTCAGTAGTCGAGAAACTTCGCCAGTATACGTTTAACGTAATTATCTTTGGCATCATAGGCCCGTGGTGAGAATTCTATTCTTGGCACTTTTTCTGATAAAAAAAGAAACCTCAGACCTTCATTTTCTTTGCATATCCGGCTAAATCTGAAGACTTATTAAGTAACACTGAACCTAATCCTAACTCTAACTCTATAACCCGGGTCTTTAACGTATAGGCCTATGTAGGCCCTACATAAACCCTATTGGTGGGATATTCTATCTATTTCCCATGGTATGAAAACATAAACAAGCCATTCGAGACCGTACATGGAACATGGCAGAGATTTGTGGCGCCTCTTCAGAGTTCCTCCGACTCTGCTTCGGGGAAATTGCAGGCGACTCGGACTGGTGAAATGGCGCCTTCGTACAAATGCATTAACCTACCAATACGATACCGTAGCTGGTATAAAAAACACTTTCAGCATCTCTTTTCCATGATGATTTCATTTGGGTTTTTGTTATGTAATCATACTTGCGTTGGATTTAATAGAGTGGGGTTTCAATCTACCGAACTCCTGATAAGAAAAGATAACTCCCTTTGCTCCCTAACCCACTTCCCTGAATAAATTATAACTTTCGGCAGGTCAAATTTAGCTCATATTTTACCCCACATACACATTCTCATATACATTTTCTGCACAAGCGCTGGGCGTGTATTGAGCCTCCCTAGGCCCTGCCTAGCTATACCAAGCCTTCATCAATACACACAATAAACCTAGATCTATGTGATGTAGGTGCTGGTTTGTTGATACCGAAAATGATGGCATCACTCGAAGAGCCAAAACACGACCGAGAAAGGCTTATTCATATCATCGAAGACTCTGATTCAACCTCCGTCGGCCAGATATTCAGGTTCATTTCTTCTTTTTTTACCCAGGGTGTTGAAATACATTACTTTAGGTGGATCAGCGGAAGTGTTGAATAAAACTGTGACTCAGTGAATGTTGTAAATACGTGCGTGGGGCTGAGGAGAATTTTGTGCAGTGCATGCTAGCTAGTGCTACAGTACAGCCGCGCTGCGTAATTACCGAATGGGGAATTTAGTGTGTTGTGAAGGCTTGAAAAGCTGAATGTCAGTTTGTGGTTCGGTGCATGTTGAGGTAAAATGCTGTATTGTCCAACTGTTATTTACAGCACAGCTGCTTCTTTGCTAGTGCGGTATGTAACCTTACTTTTTTCATTTTTTCTTAATTTTTCTGCGATGCAGTCTCTATCTTTATTTGAACAGATTCATTTGCATTTCAATTGAAAATAAAACAATTGCGAGAATGTGCCAGGTATTTTTGAGGCCAGGTAGGGTTGTTCATTCAGCTGTCTTGCATTTTAGTTTTCAGTCTTCTCAATTTGTATATCATCTCAAATATTTTACTGGGTGATTTTAATATGATGATAAGTCTAAAGAGAATGCATTTTCTAAGTCCTGCAGCTGTTGTTAGAGTTGTCTAATTTCATGACCAGGAAATATAGAACAGAGATAAGGAACAGAAATTATAAAGATCATATCAGACAAGTTTTTGTTTCAACGAAAGAACTAATGATCTGTATTGATGAAAAATGGGCTTGACTGCATGATATCTGATCAGTCAGGGAATGAGTTTATTTATCGCTGGAAAATCAGGGCAAAAGGCCAAAAACTTGATGTCTTGTGAAGTTGTGTTATCTTCAGCAGTGTCTGTTGATTCTAATTTCTAACCCTTCCCCCTTTTATCCATTGTTAATTCTCAAGCTAGCATTGTGTCAAGCCAAAATAAAATCATTAAATGTCAGATCAACAGATAATAAAAGCCTTGCTTTCCTTTTCAATCGATCCTTCTAAAGTCATTCAAAAACTAATTTACAAACAACTTGTATCTTGTGACGTGAAGACATTTAGGAACGTTGTGCAGACGAATTGTTCATCGTTGCTATTGGAATTTACCATGACTTAAATATGCTAGCAAATCTGAAATATTGGATAACTAGTGCTTTCAAGCATATTACACAGCCTGATTATGTGCTTCATGCTGAGGAATGGATTTTTATGCTCAATGTTCGTGGGTAAAAAGAAACTTGTCCATTCAGATGATTTTTTTGTTGTTGAAGTCTTCGTAATCATGGTTGTTGACGAGATTTTTTTCATTCAAACTTATGGTTCTCTTCTAAGCGTATGTTCAGCTGTTCAAAAGATTTAAATTACTTTTTGTAAACCTATTTTTTTATTTTATTATTCTTTTATTATTGTTATTGTTTATTTTACATCAGACAAGCCTACATGTACTTTTGACAATTGTTTTGATATTCCTTGGAATAAAAAGTACATGTTTTGTTTATTTACAGTGTACTTGCCAAAACAGTATTTGTTATATTTTTACACATACTGTACAGTGTACACAACTGTACATGTACACTTTGTAAGAAGGTTCATTTTTAAAGATTGTCTTTTTCTAACTTTTTTCTAACCGCGTAACTAGATTAAACATAGGTTGCAGATTGTGTACATGAACTGTACATGTAGCTCTAAATTGGTTCAGTTGATGTTGATTTTGTGTTGTTTACCACCTCTAATATATTTGAGAGAGAATTGTAAATTTTCTTTGAAGGTAGTTACATGTGCACGTATGTATTTTATTGTGGGTTTAGAGACCCTGTTGTGATTGGTGAAGAGAAAAAAAAAGTGGAGAAAACTATGACAATACTTCTCATGCTATGATGCATACATGTAGATCATAGGATGTGAAAATGAAACTCTACTCATCAATAAATTCTACACGAGTAGAGATAATGTAACAAAATATGGTTGATATTTGATTTACTCACAGTTATTAATTAGTGTAGTAATTTGTTTGTATGATATTTCCTGTTACATGTATGTGAATGGTACATTGTTATTCATGATCAGATACATGTACATGTAGGTTAGTGATGGTAGTAGTACATTGTAAGTAGAAAATAATAATAATTTATACATACAATTACAGTGTATATGGAATTTTTTCAAGAGTCAGTATGAAATAAATTATTTGTCTTATCTTCCCCCTAATAACCTACCAAATGTTATTGCTTTTTTAAAATCAATTTTGTATGGATTGGAGTAGAATCATTAAAAAGGAGTATATTTTGGTGATCATGACGAATATACTTGTATCTAAAAAACAAACAACAAATCTGAGATTTGAGTAATGTTTAAAATTTGAATACCGGTAAGTTATATACATGTACATGTATTTGTCATGTAATAAGTCTTGCACCAACATTTGATTTTTTTTTAATGTCTTTCCTAGGGTCTCTCCTTTTATTTTTCTTTCAAATTCAATTTAATCATCACTATTACCTGTTGTGTTTTCAGAGCTATCCAAGATGGCAAAGGTCAGCAGGAGTTTGGGGAGCATCTCAAAGCTCGCATCGCGGACCATGACAGGGACATCGAGAGGATGTGTAACTTCCATTACCAGGGGTTCGTAGACAGTGTCGGTGAGCTTCTACATGTCAGGGCACACGCAAAGAAACTCAAGGTTCGTATTGGCTTTTACATAGTGAAATGAAATCAATCCCTTCATCGTTTGAAATTAAAAAAAACACTGTTGGGACTTACAGGTACTATGCTATGTCCCATTTGCAGCGCAAAAAAATGAAAAGGTTAAATGCTAACAGCATTTGGGAGACAATTTAGAATTTAGAATTTCCCTCAAAACATAATTCCTGCAAAGTTCTTCAGAATTTGATGTTGGCTGCGAAAGGGACATAGTATCTTTAAAGCTGGAAGGGAATATCAGTTTGTTTTCTCATCTTATATTTGATATTTAATGAGAACTTTGTGTTATATAATAGTCATAATGCTATTTTCTTATACTACCCTAGCCTCTCTTTATCCTGGCTTTCATTTTTGGAGACCCCCCCCCCCCAAAAAAAGTAAATTAGTTAAACAATCAAACGAACCATTTAATTTGTGTGGATGTACAATGTAGAGAGAAATCTAGATAAATGCCAACCTGTTATTCATCATCGATTCTAACCATATATGGCAATTTGACCCCCCCCCCCCCCCCCCATCCTCTCCTCCCTCCCCCTTGCCACATTCAAATATTCTAATTAACTGAATTGTTTTTCTTTCAGGATGGGGTGCTACAAACCAACCAATCGTTGCAGAAGTCTGGTAATCCGGTCATTGAGAAGGCAGAAGAGTTACATACAACAAGAACTACGTTACGGAACATCACTGCAACGGTCGATCATCTTCAAACATGCCTGCCAGGTAAGCTACATTAACCCTCTGGTGCCACATACATGCTATTCTTTATATATGGGACTTGTGTACATTCAGTTGGTGCAGTTTTTTGTCTCTAGTATACACTGTAGGAAGAGTCAAGCAGAACTGAAAGTAATACATTGAAACCTGTCTATAAAGACCACTCAAGGGAAACAAGAAAAATGATGGTCTTTATCTAGGCAGGTTGCCTTTATGTACAGGTTCCTTTAATAGTACATGTTTCAATGAGAAAGAATTTTCAAGGGAAGTAAAAAATGTGGTCTCTGTAGACAGGTGGTCTTTCTATACAGGTGGTCACCAAAACAGGTTTGACTGAATATGTGAATCAGAGTGTGAGGGATATCTTATCAGGCAGATGTTATTATTTCTTCCATGTCACCATCCCTAAGACGGGGCTCTACACTAACTTTTTCGGGGGGGGGGGGGGGGGGGGGGGGGGGGTGGATTGAAGTTTTTTGGGCCAGACCCCCAAATTTCATAATTTTTACAAAGATCTAGAGCTCTTGCATAGAGACTCTCAACATAAAAATCCAGCCCCCCCCCTTTCACAAAGTGGAGCTCTGATTTTCATATTTGAGAAGGAAATAATTTTGAACCCCACAAGCTGATGATACTGTGATCAAATTAAAAAAAAAAATAAAGTATGTGTTGTCAGTAATTAAATGAAAACACATTGAGGTACCCTTTCTATTTTATGACATATTGCCAGGAAATTTCAATTAGTTTTGCTTAGCAGGAAGTATTTTAGTGGGTGTGCCAGCCTTTAATTAATGGAGTTCATGAAGCATTGAATTGTAATCTAAACAGTCATTTGAGGGCTCAGCTATAATGATGCAAGCTCAATCCAGAGTAATATGTTTTAAGGACTGCAAAATAGTCAAGAAAATCAAAGGACAGGGTGGAAATGTCTTCAATTTTATATACTTATTTATTTTTAAAGCCAAGTAAGGTACAACAATATGGTGGAACAATATATATTACTGCTATTTTCATGGTCTCAGAGAGCTGAATTGCTCTTGTCCAATTTGTAACAAGTTCAGTTGTCACAATATATTTAATTGTTGTCCATTTATAATGTATGTAGCTAAGTGTAAAGAAAATTTGAAATATCATTGGTCCATTTGTAATTAAAGCTTTAAGGTACAATGTATGTATATGTGAGAGTGTGCCAAGTAACATAAGTAATGTAATTATAGCAACAGTACACAGTAGAATAGCTAATCTATAATCAACTTTTATCATGGCTATAGTGACATCAAGTGTATGATAAATGTATATGGCAGTTATGATATGATAGTCTACAGTGATCACTATTACATGTATTAAGTCACAAGTAATTATTTTTATTCCTAATTACCATCAATCATTTTGTTATCCTGTAATTTCAAATTGCTCCTTAGTAGTTCACAAGGATTTCTCGGTATGTATTGTTATATTTATTTATTTATTTATTTATTTCTAATATTTATACAGGATTACAACAGGAAAGTGGTATTTTATAGAATATTTTTGACAAATCTGCGAAAATTGGTTACTATTCAATGCCACTCAGTGCCATTCTGTTTATGATAACAATTGAAAGGAATCATTTAAACTTGGAACAGTTTCCTAACCCAATTCCTACAAGCACTGAGTGATCCTTGCATTTTAATGCATACAGTTAATGAGAATGAGAGAATTCAGTCCTTGGTCAACCATCATGACCATGGGTTAACAGTATTCCATGATGTGAACACATCACGTGCTACATGACTGGGCACTGTCATGCAGCATGCACTTGCATCTGTCTCCCAAGCCAGCCATACTAACCAACTCACCTTCATCTGGTCTGTTCAGACTGTAGGAAATGTATACCAAACTCATTTAAGAAACATCATTTACATATAAGAAATTGCTTGTGTAGCAAAAGGAGCATGCAGACGCAAAAACAACATCGTTTAAAGAAACATCTTATAAAAAAAATGATTATTTTGTTTTTTTTTGTTGTTGAAGAAGTTAATTGGCATGACAGCTGGCCAATCATCAGTAAATAATGGGCTCATAACCAGCTCACAATTTAAACCCCACCTGGTATAAATATGATTGTTGTATGATACAACGTTCATATTAGAGCTGGACCCTGATAGTGATTCTTTCTCAAACGAACGTTTCATGCGTTTGTTAACCATACAGCGTACATATGTAGGGCTCATGCATACAGACTGTAAAAAAAGTTCTGTTCAAAACCCCTTCCGAAAAAGGTAGTGTGAAACCCTGGTATAGCTACAGAATCTAGGCCATTTTCATAATGTAACCAATATGAGGCAAATGGATGTGAATTACAATGTATTTCATTAACCTGTAATGAATAAATATATCTCGATAGTCATAATTCGAATTGCAAACTGTAGTTGTTGGTAGACTGTACGATACACTTAACAGGTTGTTAGGTAGAACAAGCCATAATGGCTTGTTCTACCTAACAAACCGTAATATATGCAATTTGCATTGTGATTATTGAAAGACAATTATTTGTACCAGGTGAATGCAATAATTTGTATTGGGGCACTTACAATGTACAATGTAAGTGTATTAAAATTTGGTTACATTACGAAAATGGCCTATTGTTGTGATGCTATACAACAAATTCTGGTAGCTTGAATACAGGGATACATGCATGTATTAAAAACCAAACCAGTAAGTAATGCCATGTGTTGTATTCTATCAGGCATTTCTCTACGTGATATGATTCATTATCCGGTGAGCCTCCTGTACTGAAAGCAGAGTAGTAATCATCGGCCGTTATAATCTCCCCTGCTATCTCTCTCTCTCTTTCTCTGTGACTCATTCTGTCCTTCCCTGTAAATGTCACTGATTTCCAAACACACTCTTAACCATTGTCTGGCAACTCAGGCATGAGATTTGTTTTTTTTCAATTGACCCATTGGATAATGGATACAATCTAATTTTGAGTTTGAGTTTGGTACAAAATCTATTTTCCATAGACCCCCCCCCCCCCCCCACAATCGGGCTTATTTTTCAGATACATGTTAAAAGGTGAACGGCAATAAGACTTACATGTACATGTAAGGAGTATTAATAATATTTTTTTATGAACATTCCAATCACTTCATCTTCCCTGTGAATGTCACCGAGTCCCAACCTTTAAATAAACACCACCATTGTCTGACGACTCAGGCATGAAAGTTGTGGCTTCTATTAATGCACTGGATGTGATTTGATTTTGGTACAAAACCTACATGTATTTTCCTTTATCATAGACCTCGGCCCTGGTTCGCTCAGGTTTAGTTTTCAATGGTATATTTAAGACAATTTGTATATTATATTACATGTATGCTGCTAAACAAAGATAATGAAAGACATTCAGTGTTACCCTATGTTTATGTCTTCAACTTTAAGAAATATTTTTGAAACTGCTTTTAAAAGATAGGGAAAATTTCCTTATCTTTTAGTATGATAACTGATAGCCATATGTCTCCCTAAAAAGAGTAAGCAGCCGTGAGACCATGCCTCTAAAGCATGTTGTTACTTGAAGCTCTGTTATCTATAGGACGTGATCTCATTCTACAGGTATTCAGATTTGCGTTTGTTTTTTATTCTCTCATCTTTGTTGGAATATTAAGCATGGTGTAAGTTCAACTAGGTTGGGCACTGCACACATTTATCAGGAGATCGCTAGACAAACAATAAACAATGAACTGTTTCTAAACTGATGAATTTACATGTATGTAATCTGGTAATGTCTGGAATATCAGTCTTTAGTTTGTCATATCAATAGAGTGAGCTCTCATTAAACATATGAATGTTTGCATGTAAAACATTTGTATTCATGTCTGTACATGACTGTGTTGGATTGACAGTAACTTTTCTCATATAAACAATATAAAAATGTAAACCTCAGTAAAGTATGATAAAAACATATTTATGCTCTTCCAAGAAGCTTTGAAAGTACTGCCTTGACTTTTTGCTGTGGGATTCAGGCATTTAATTTACACCTGGGTCAAGAGAGGCCTCTAGATAAAATGATCTGTCCAAGGATATACATGTATTGTACATGTTACCCCAGGCAGGGATTAACTTCTTGGGACACGTGATCGAGAATGAAATTATATACCGGTATATGAATTCCTGAATATAATGCTCAATCGATTTGATGTAATAAATAAATGTTGATTATGAAATGTTAAAGATAATTTTCCCTTTGTGTGTCAACATGCTACATATATCTGTCTATATTTACATTGTACATGTATATCTTTAATTGGACATGAATAACATGTGCAAAAATATGATGAACACCATATGTTCATTATGAAGCTCAAAGTGTACCTATCTCCTAAACAAAATAATATAAGTAAGGCTGTGGGAAGCCTGGAATGTATACAAATCAACACAAAAATTAACATGGCATTCTGAAGGCTAAGGGATAATTGTGCACAGAACATGCAGACCCTATTCTATTAAATCACATACAGTGATACGGGTGTGTCGAGTTGTCCACTCACAGGTCACTTTCATGTTACTTGAGAGTGTATTCAGACTTGCAGTATCTCTTTCAATGATGCTTGAATGTATTACACCTGTACAGCCAAATGGAATCCCAAACATGCATGTACAGAACAAAATATATTTAGGATTTTAGGTGACTGGTAAACTTAAAGCTATATCATTTTGCGTTTACTTTGGTTGAATACATGGACTGTGTTTTCCATTCTCTCATTGGAATACATCCAATATCATATTCATGTACATGTAGAAGTGACACATTGTTTGTTTTCATTTTCTGTCTGGTAGTTCTGGAGATGTACTGCAAACTGAATGATCAAATAGAAAGCAAGAGGTAAGTGTCAATATTTGAGAAATGAATACACGTTAGCATTCATATTTAGAGACTGATGTGTCTACTACTCTATTTGTCATTTTTTATCAATTCGTTCATGTATCCTGGAGGGTGTTTCACAAAGATCCTAAGTAGAACTTAACTCTAAGTTGAACTTAAAAATTATGGACAGCCATTGGAGTCTTAAAATGAAATATATTCAAAAGCAGAAATTCAAGTATTTTAGACTTTTTATAAATTCCACATCCAGAACATGAAATCTCCTTGATGATAGAAAATATGAATGATTTGAATAAACAATTAATGCATTTCAAAATAACTTTTACAAAATATTTTCAAAGATGCTAATGGCTTTCCATAATTTTTAAGTCCAACTTAGAGATAAGTTCGACTTAGGATCTTTGTGAAACACCCCCCAGGTCACCATCTAGACAGTATTTAGGGTTAACAGCTCAGGGCCCTGTTTCATAAAAACTAGTTATCAATAACAAGATACAAGAAGTAGGTTTGTCATTTGTTACTGATAACAAGTTTCATGAAACTGGGCCCAGTTTTGTTTATAGTAAGTATCCCTTTCAATAAAAGAAAAAAAAATAGTCAACTTCCTTTCTCAATTTGATTTGAGCTAAATTGATTATAAGATAGTAGAATAAGTAAATGATTTTTTTTTTTTAAATTTGAGAGAGAGAGAAAGAAAACCATGAGTGATTTTAAAGACTTCCCTGAGAGTATCCGCATGAACTTTGACTGTTACTATCCCATCATGTTCCACAGGTATAGGTGTACTTGCCTGCCCTGATGATCTTAGAAAAGTTTGAATACACCATCAAAAAGGCATTCATGAGCGATCTCAAAGATTCCTAGAGAGTACAGTCAAACCTGTCTACAGCGACCACCCAAGGGAAACACAAAAAGTGGTCTTTGTAGACAGGTGATCTTTGTAGACAGGTTCCTTTAGTACATGTTTCAATGAGAAACAATTTTCAAGGGAATCAAAAAATGTGCTTGTTGTAGACAGGTGGTCACTAAAGCAGGTTTGACTGTATCTGCAATCATTCAGATTGTTATCTATTACTTTATCTTCTATAGGTACTATCCTGCCCTGAAGACCTTAGAGCAGCTTGAACACACCTACCTGCCGAGGGTGAGGCGGTATCGCTTCTGCGAGCGTATGGCAGACAACATTCCTATGATCAGACAAAACATCAAGGAGGCTTCCATGAGTGATCTGAAAGACTTCCTGGAGAGCATCCGCAAGCATTCAGACTGGATCGGGGAGGAGGCCATGAAGCAGGTACGTTCCAATCGATTAATTGTGACAAAGTAGTAACTGCAGCTGTTGTTGGGTAAACCTCTTGTACATATACAGATAGGCCTGTATGTAGGACTCAAATGATGCCCCATCTGTTCTTTAATCTGTCCTAAAAATGAATGCATCTGAAATTCCAAAGGAAATAAAGTCATGAAACAGCTACCACTGAAAAGACTGGAAAGTGGTGGGATGTTGACATAATTATTAATATATTTGTAACAAATTGAGTTTAAAAGCAAATGCCAAAGTCTCTGTAAATAGTTATGTGTTATCGAGAAATGATGTTAGACAGGAATTCAGAAAATTATTTGTTGATTTTTTTTCTTCTTCAGACTAAGATAAAAATAAGAGTTTACTTTTGGTTCCTACTACAGAGATGAAAACATGAGATAGAATAGGAAGAACAAAGGAGTTATTCCTATTAATGAATTGAGAATGCTGACCTTACCTACTATGAAGGATAAAATTAAGAAAAGGAAAAAAAAGGAAAATCTTCAAATCATGATGATGAGTGTTTAAAGAAATAGTGTTTACACAACAAACAATAAAGTACAATGCAATGCTTTAGTTCAGATGAATTGAGATACTGTACATATTGACTTTGTTTTCCCAATGTCTAGTTACCTAAATCAGGAACTAGTGGGGGGGGGGGGGAGGAGGGGCTAGACATGTCTCAAAATCGTTCACCAAGTTTTCTGTCTTTTTTCCATACTTCGCTGCTCAAAGTTCAATTGGTGAGACATTACTGTTCTCCTTTGTCAATTTATAGGTTCAGAAGAGAAGTGCACTTGAGACGTCAGCCTTCAGTAGAGCTAGACATCGGACTGTCAAGGCCGAGTCACCGCTCACCGAAGCTGACAAGGATTCAGTGGGAGACTTCATGTTTGAGGAAGAAGAAGTATGAGATTGTGAATAATTTGTTTTGATACACTCTGATGACACCAATAGTCATGGGGGTCCCCAGAAGTTCCATGTAACTTTAAAGAAAAATGGTTTAGTACTAAGCTGTAATACCTTAGTAGCACCGCCAAACCGACTCCAAACCGACTCCAAACCGACTCCAAACCGACTCCAAACCGACTCCGCACCGACTCCACACCGACTCCAAATCGACTCCGCTCCGACTCCAAACCAACTCCAATCTGACTCTAAACCGACTTCATACCGACTCCATACCGACTCTAAATCGACTCCATTCTGACTCCATACCGACTCTAAATCGACTCCATTCTGACTCCATACCGACTCTAAATCGACTCCATTCTGACTTAATACAGACTCTAAACAGACTCCATTCTGACTCCATACCGACTCCATTCTGAACTACCAGTACTAAGAAGAGCCAGTCCACACTGAAAAATTAAAGGCAGTTCATTGATTGTGATCATCTTTCAAAAAAACCAGACCTTTATCAAGATACTGTATAGCATGTGAAAATCAGCCACACTTGAGCACCAGTCTCTTAAACTCTGCATTGAAATTAATGTTTGCAATTTTGATGGCTCATTGTTCAACATTCAGAAATGAGCATTGATTGTACCTACATAGGTACCTGAGAATAATCATATCCTGTCGCAACATTACACAGCCCTTATTAATCAACCCCCCCCCCCCTTCTCATGTGTGCCTGCATGACATGAGCCTTGCAACCATTGATGTACATGTATTTATTATTTCATTCATTGCCAGAATGTAAAACCTTTCCCCCTTTAAATAGATTTATCATCTTTTCTTTAGTAAAGCTTTCTGCCCCTCAATCATTAGACCATTATTCATGCATGATATTTTTTTGTTTCATGTAATTTCAGTAGTGTTATTAAAGGTCCCCTGACACAGAAAAGCTTACAAAATTCAAGTAGACATTTTTTTCTAAAAAACTTCTGATGAATCCAGATGTTGAAATATCATCAAAGAAAATCATGTTTTTAAGATGTTAACTTGAAAATAACTTTTAGGTGGAAAAAACAAACACCTAACGTCTTACTGCTCGGAAACACCTATGACATCCTATGTAGAAAGAAAGTCAAGCAAGCTCTCTGTAAAACACTGTAAACATACAGCACAGCAAGAATGTAGCTGTAGTCTTATGAAATGAAAAACAAACGGGGTATGGTATGGTATAAGGATACAACTTTATTGGGCCGGCGTGGCAATATCTTACCAGCAGTTAGGCGTATTGCATGTTGCACAACATTGAAGCATGCTGCATGTTGCGAGATAATTTGAATACATTGTGTTAGGGAGATCAATTTAGACATTCTAAAGTGATAAATTTATATCGTAAATGATTTACTTTTGTAGATCAATTTTTGGAAAAGCATGGCATGTACCTGCATCAAAATACTTCACGATTAAAGGGTATATGTCATTGTTTCACGTGTCTAGGTTGTGTTACAGGATTTGAAGGCGCGGGCAGAATTCGCAAAGTACGCTGCGCGGCCACGAAGGCTGGCCTCGCGGCGGATTACATTCGATTTTGTAAGTTCCACCCTCCAATTTCAGACCATTTGAGTCCTTTGGAAAAATTATATAAGGCAGAATATCTTTTTCACTATATTGACACAAACATGTATTGTATGGGGATTTTGGGGTTATCAATACTTGCTACTTCAACTTCTCAGAAGAGTTAACACAAAAAACCATAATAACAGTCGCACATTAAATGCATGCAGAGCGCTACTGACTTTCCGAGTTATACTACAAAGGATTAATTTAAAAATAAATATTCGGGAAAATTAACATCACTTTAACAATAATAAGTAATTCCAAGCTGTTATGCCCTGAATATTACCAATAACATCAAATGTTTTTGATTAGTAGGAGATAGCATGAAATTAATGGTAGACCAAATATGAGTAAAATTATACTTATAAATTTAGTGTATTAATGTTCATAATTCCATAAAACTTGGTGACATATAGCACACAAAATTAATAAATATATCAGTCTTGCCATAAAGCAAACTGCAGAGAAGTTGATTTGATGACAGGGGATCTTTAAATAGAAATTCAGTGTCATTGTAAGATCATTATTAGGGAAATTTGTCAGCTTAGTGCATGGTAGTTCCCTAATTCATCATTTCATGTAGAAGTAGAAATAAAATGTTCACTTTGCTGTCGGAAGTGTGCTTTGCTTCAAGAAAAATTGCCTTAGCTATTTTGATTTGTTTTCTTCTTACCAATCGCTTCCTCGTCCACTTATTTCAAGACTATATGTTAACCATATTTTCTTCTCATTTATTTCATCATCATCATCATCATCATCCTCATCCTCTGCATCGTTGTCATGGTTACATAGGAGGTGAGCCCGCAGGACAAGGTTGACTTCTCTCCGGTTTACCGTTGTCTACACATCTACTCTGTGCTTGGTGAGAGAGAAGTGTTTGAGAGTTACTACCGCAAGCAGAGAACGAAGCAGTCCAAACTTGCCATCCAACCTCAGGGTAACACGGTAAGTCCAGTCTGGTCTTGTTTTGTTGTCACAGGCTTTCCCAATGTCATTCAATGACACAGACATACCATCTAGTATTTAGCTAATCTTGAGCTCTGGTATGGGAATCATATTTTGAGAGAAAAGTGCTATGATTTATTCTGGATTGTTTATCCTGCAGTAGATTGGTTGTTTGAACCAGTTAAATACAAACAAATGCACAAAAACTTACTGGGCATTATCTTCAATTAAAAAAAAAACCCTCCCATTTGCACATAGTGACCTGTGTTAAGCACGTGGTGTCGGGCCTACCTATCCGGATTTCCTTCTCTTCCTATTTTTCACTACCGGTACTCAGCCACTAAACATTTTCAACCAAAATTATTTGGCACATGTCATGTATTTGTAATCTTGAATATTCGGTGTAAGTTTCTTTGGATTCTGTGAGAATTTATTTTGTATATTTACCAGAACTCAAGTTTATCTTTAAAGTGTACCAATCACCTGAAAGAAAATGATTTGTGACTTTGTGTATAGCTAGAATGTATAAAATCAACCTTAAAGGCTTGACCTTTCATTCTGTAGGTAAACAGTTTAAAGGAGTATGAAGAAAAGAAAGCATAACATAAAACTCTGCGTAGAGGGTACGCATGGAACCCAAGTTGGACCTGGGTTCTGTGCGAGTCTTATTCTATGCTAGTGTTTATGCCTACCTTAAGTTGTCTAATCAACAAGGTGTTTTTAATGGTATGCACTAGGAGTGTTTGTAAATGAAATATTTGAAGCTAATATCTTGAATACAGTATAGCAACATGTAATCCCTTACATCAAGAGCAAAACATGTTTTGAGCACTTTGAGATACGAGGCACACTTATATTGATTGCAAATGTTGTGTCACGCTGATAAATAATTGTTTCTGGTATATGTATTGGTTAATATTTAACTCCAGATCTCAATATTTAAATGTTAGACAAAGATCTCTATTTCAATGTCATATCAACTTTTGTAAATTAATGTTGGTCTGGCAAACACACTCGTACTACCAAACAAATTCAATTTGGTTGTCCTACATAACATTTTTTTTTAAATATTGATACAAAGTCATGTATTCATATGGGATATTGCAATTCATATACCGGCATGTGCCAAATTGTTTTTAATAACTTTAAAGTGGATTTATAAACAACTTTAGATCACGACCCTTTGATCAATATACAGTATATCTTTTGAAATTGAAGTATTTTTCCTTATTCCTTTTTAGTATGATTCGTTAGATCACTACAAGAAGTACTTTCATCAGATACTAGGGTAAGTTTTAATTGACATTTTGTTTCTATACCAGGATTTCTAGGATTTGTTTCTATACTAGGATTAACATTTTCCTGGTTTATACTTGTACGTCATCAATACAATGAACTTGTACGTTAATCTTCAAGGAAACAGTCATTCAAGCATTACATATTTGTCAAAAATGTTATATCCTTTTTTCTGAGAAAATATATACCGGTAATATTTTAAAGTCAATTGAGCTACATAATGTTATTGTATTAAACCTTCTGGTGAACTTAGGATATCACAGACTAATGTGAATGGTCATATTAACGTAGGAAATGTACACTGTTTGCATTCAGATCCATAATGTATGATACTATTGTATGGTATTGTATCATCATCAAATATATCCAAACTTATATTTAGATATTTATACATGTATACTCTGCATATCAGCACATTTTCATGAAGTATTTTATGTCTGATATATATTTTTCAGGTTCTTTGTTCTAGAAGACCATGTATTAAGTACTACAGAGGGCTTAGTTACAAGAGAATACCTAGATGATCTATGGAACACCGCATTATCAAAGATTGGAAGCACACTAAGAAATAATTCAGTAAGTAGCCAAATGCTATACAGTTTATATCTCTAGAAACCTATTTGGTTGGAAATTCCTTTTGAAATTTCACTGATTTTGTCAAAGATCAGAGTACATAGGATACGATTCAATTAGATTTTAATCCACCAAGATTATTTTATGAGCTGTCTTCCATTTTGGGTTTACACTGTTGTAATGTTAACATTATTATTTAAAGGCAAACAAATTATTAATTTCTGTTCAACATGTTTAATAAAAGTTTATAAAATAATTTTTGTTCTCAAATTATTTTAATAGATTATTGTGTTCTTGTGTCACTACTATTAAAACAGCAATTTTAGTTGTTAAAAGAGAAAACAACTACACTTATTTAATTAAGCTAATACCATCATGGTATGAATATCATATTGTTTAATATTTACTTCTCCCTTCATATTGGCACATTGTATTGTCTTTTTTGCTTCACATACACAAACTCCTCTGAGGTATGAAGTATACCACAAGCAACATTGTTCATATGTAAAATGGCTCTGTTGATACCTGTACAATTTTATTTATTTAAAAAATCCTCCCTTTTTTTTTTCCTTCCCTCCAGGCAATATGCACTGATGCAACACTGTTACTACACATCAAGAACCTGGTAGTCCTCTTTGTACAGACAGTAAATGTGAGTAAATATCCATTGATCATCATTCAAAGATAAGATATTCCTCTTTTATTTTACAACGTATGAACATATGTAGCCATTTCATTTTTGATATATTATAGATATACAGTATGGTTACAATTGCACTATGTGAGAGATGGGGGGGGGGGGGGAGGATTGGGGTCCTGAAAAGGACTGTCTGTAATCTTTATTTCTTGAGTGTTTGTGTGGTCCTGAAAAGGACTGTTGGTAATCTTTCTTGAGCTTTAATATATTATAGATATCTTATCAACTTATACTGTTTTACTGTCTGTTAAAAAATACAATCCTTTCACATATTCTGTATTTGTATAAAAGATGTAAGCTCATCACATGGGTTGTTAAGGGTTGGCCTCTTACAAGGTTTGTTTCCTTTTTGGCCACTGCCCTCCTCACTTTTATAATTCATATTATGCATTGTCATACATTTGTCTGTTTATATATGTATTTTTATATGTTAATCTCTTGAGGAGAAATAAATTAAACTGAAAAACTGAAACATGCATAAATTACTGTGAACAGTGTTTTCTGTGTGAAATACTAGATGTATTTTCAATCATGGTATCTTCTTAGGATCGTGCAAATTTGGATCTTGATTTAGGTTTACAACCATGACACCCCTAACTGAGTTCTTACAGGATCTCAAGCATGTTATAATGACATCTTTTTGCTTGTCTTTCAGAGCTATGGATTCAACACCACAACTCTAACCGAGTTCCTTCTGGATCTCAAGGATCAATACAATGAAATCCTCATGAAGAAATGGGTCCAAGTCTTCAGGTAAGGCCTAAAAAAAAAGATGTTGTATTGCCCGTTAGGTGCCAAAACATGGAAATCTTTTCTTTCTTTTTTTAAACTTTTTAACAAAATTCCCTCTTTGGGCTGATATTTCTGAGTTGTTGTTTTTTTGCTTCAATACTTTTTTTCTCTAAAACATGGTTAAAAAAAAAAAAAAAAACTTTTTTAAGATGCCGACCATAGATTTCATCATTTTTGGGTCGATCGCAAAGGGCAATACAACACCTTTTTTTTTTTTAGGCCTAATCTCATAAAAGAGAAGAATCTTATCAAACTGATGAAAAGTACTGTATTGGTTTGGTGTATGATGAGAAAACAAGTGATTTATTTGATGTCAGAATTCTAAAAGTGTGTGAAGAATTGATTGAGAATGTGATATATAGCTTTAATCTAAAAGTATTCAACAAAGGCCCTAATCAAACCAGTCCACATTTCATTCTTGAGTTATAAAAAACACCAAACATTTACAAGGGGTGTGAATAATTTAGTTGTTAATTGTATGCCAAAAACTCAACACTTTACAAAAATTCAAATGCTCATCGGAATAACAAAGCCTGTCCTTATTTTTACGTCTATCACGTAGAGGTTTGTCAAATGATTTACTCTTCATTCATTTCACAGGGATATATTTGATGAGGATAACTACACTGCTATGGCAGTGAACTCTGAGGCAGAGTACCTTGACCTTATCAGGTCATTCCCATTCAGAGACGAGAAGATTGATAAGGTGAGGGAAATCACATTTTCCTTTCAAAGTGTAGGTATTAAAGCAGTGTTGGAAAATCTAGATATTGCCTCTCAAACACTTCATGATTTTATATCTATAATTGAATCTTATCTATGTAGAAGTGTCGTGGTCGAGTGGTTTAAGCACTTGCCTAGAAATTTGAAGGTCATGGGTTTGATCCCCCCGACACAGGACTAATGTATATTGGCAAGGCATTAATCTATATTTGCCACTCCATACCCAGGAGAGAAATGGGGCTCCCGGTAGGATGACGAAAGCCTTTGTGTTAATAGCAATTGCCATATGCCCTTATGTTGACCCTATGGTAGGAATACTCCCCAGGGAGTGGAGATGGTGTACACTGTGCGTGAATGATTCCGATGACCAGGGTAATAATATCTGTTAAGCCATTCGAGAGGCTATTTCGTATTAAGCACTATATGAATCTTTATTATTATTATTATTATAATTATGTATCATGAAATCAGCTTGAACATGTAACACACTTCTGTTTTTAGCTTAACAGGCCTACAATCTATTCATTTCTATTGAAACAGGCACCATACCCACGCAGGCTGCCATTCTCAGAGTTTGTCCCCAAGGTCTACAGACAGATCAAGGAGTTTATCTATGCATGTCATAAGTTCTCTCAAGATCTTCACCTGACACAGACAGAGAGAGATGATATGATCAGGAAATCAACCAACGTTCTCCTCACCAGGACACTCAGCGGATGCCTCAATGCTCTTATACGAAAGAGATGTCTCGGGCTCACAGAGGTAGGGTAGCATGTTCTAAAACTTAGTCAGAATGTTACTGTGGGCATGGTCTGGTAATATGTCAATAAAACTTAAAGGTGGTGTAGCACAACGGGACTACATGTACCGAAGCATGAGGAGAACTCGGTCTGTTTTGCGAACGCTAGAGCCCGCTGACCGTTAGTCAAGTCCATTCGTTTACGTGCAGTTGTTCAAAAGTCGTAGATGGCGTTAGCCAGTATTTGCTATGCTACACCACCTTTAATGGTATAATCATGAATTCCCTGAAATAAAATTAGAAGATTACCCCTATTTTTCAAATAGAAGGTGCCTCCCCCTGGCATTGAAAATGAACCTCACTGTAGCTTTCAGATGTGTAAATCAGGATTTCTCCTACCCCCCCCCCCCCCCAAAAAAAAAGGAGAGAGTAGGCCTGCTGTTTCATAAATAGTTTGCCTGACGCGCTTCCAGTGGGCCATTAGAAAGATCACTGTCTTTATATGCTTGACCTGCCTATTTTTAATTTGTCCATGTAAATGTTTTGAATTAAAGCCCCACTGTCCTACTTGTACATGTAGCTACTTGCTCCCTCTATATAGAAAACCTCCCCAATCGGTGCCTGTTGGTCCCCCATGATCCTCTTTTTCTTATGTTAATTGAGAGCTGTCAGTGACCTCGCTGTGTGGTCTAATCTCTTCTGGCCCAGTAGTATTGACGGTCTTTGAAATGCTAACAGTCGAGATTTGTTTTATTCTTCAGCTGGTTCAAGTCACTGTGAATACCATCCACCTAGAGAATGCTTGTAAATATCTGGAGGACTTCATCTCAAATATCACAGGGTAAATCTTGTATTCTATTTTGTTTAAAATATCAAAAAAGAAACACTCAAAATGTCACAGAATTTTATTTTGTTTAAAAATGTTTGAAGTGGTTTCAGATATCGATTTAAAATTCTAAAAAAGATAGAGAAAATTGTATGTCACAAAATTGGACAAACATAATTTTGTATACATATCTCCCATCATTCTGTATCTAGGCTGTTCATGGTAAATGAGGCAAATCGATGGTTCAAAAGAGTAGCAGGACTGGGGGCAACCCATTTATTGAGTCAAAACTTTATTTGTTCTAGCATACTCTTTGCTCTGGTGCACTGAGGATTTTCTTTAATAAGCAAATAGAAATTTTGTGTAAAGTCATTGATTCTACTTTCAATTTCATATTCAGATAGTAATGTTGATAGAGCATACAAAAAAGGTTACAAATCTTTTGGGTACCTTATCATGAGATCTGTGTTTATAATCAACAAATTTGTAATAACTGGGGTTGTTTTGCAAAGATCTTAAGTCGAACTTAACTCTAAGTTGGACTTAGAAATTATGGAGAGCCATTTGTAGCATTAAAATGAAATTATTCAAAAGCAAAAAATCAAATATTTTAGACTTTTCAATAATTCCACATCGAGAACATGAAATCTCCTTGATAATAGACAATATGAATGATTTGAATCAACATCTTATGCCTTTTAACATAACTTTTACAAAATATTTTCAAAGATGCTAATGACTTTCCATAATTGTTAAGTCCAACTTAGAGATAAGTTCAACTTTGGATCTTTGTGAAACACCCCCCTGATGTAAAATTTGTTTCTAATATAGGACAACGGGAGACAACATTCATGCAGCTGGTCTGCAAAGCACCAATATCTTCAGAGATGCCAGGAGTGAAGCAGAGCTCGAGATCTACAGGAGACTCAATGAGAAGGTAGGTCAGGTGATCAGATCAGGGCCCTGTTGCACAAAACTTACCATTGATGGTAACTACCATGGAAACCTTGATTTTGATTGGCTGTTGTGCCCTGTTACCATGGTAGTTGCCATCGATGGTAAGTTTTATGCAACAGGGCCTTGCAGGAACAGCCTAGTCTCCAATGGTCTACATTTGTATACTTTACTACTGCCTTTAAGGAGCTAAGTGCAGCTTCTTCTTTTAGTGATGAAACTACACATGAGATTACCTTTTTCAATCTTTAGAAGAATTGATTCCGTTTTGCTAATAAACACATTGTTCTTTCTTCCTTTCTTCTCTCTTTCTGTATTTATCTCTCTTGCTTTTTCAATTCTCTATATCTTATGTTTCTGGATGATCTGATCTTTTCTTTTTTTCACTTTTTTTTCTTTCTTTTCTTCTTTGCTTTTCTCTTTACTTGCCCTTTTCCTTATTTTTAATTTTATCTGTATGTTTGTTTCTCTCTAACTCACCCATCTCTCTGTCTTTCAGCCTGTGTGTGTGTCTCTCTCTCTTTCTCTCTCTGTCTTGTTTTCTCTTTGTACGTCTCTATTTTTATGCCTTTGTCTCATATTTGCACTCCTTCTCTCTTCTCCTGTGTAGGTGGATGAGTTCTTGGAGCTGGCCACCTATGACTGGTCATTGGATGAATCCGCAGGGAGAGCTAGTGGCTACATCATTGACATCATCCGCTTCTTGGAAGGCAGCTTCAAGGCATTCAATCATCTACCGGTAAACTATCCCTCCCCCCCCCCCCCCCCATTCCAAGTTACAACAAATATACTTTGGAAAAACTCTTTAATTGTAAGAGGCAGTGGACTCACCGGACAGAGAGAAGGGTCTTAAAAATGGGTTTCCACACTCCAGGGGGGTGTTTCACAAAGATTATAAGTCAAACTTCACTAAATTGGTTAAGTCCAACTTAGGATTTTTGTGAAACACCCCCCAGGTCTTCAAGAGCAAGTTGGAGGGCTAGCCCCCTTGTGTCTTCAATACATCCATCCTCAATTAAACTAGTCCTTCATATAAATATCAAAAAACTATATTCCCAAGATGCCAAAAGGGACAATTTTCTTTAATATGCTCTGACTCTTTGCTTATTAATATACAAAATATTAGCCCCCCCCCCCCTCTATTTCCTTCAAATGCTTCCAAATGCTTCCAAATTTCTAATTGTCTATTAAAATCAGTTAATGGATTTTCCCACTCAAGATGATCAATACTTGATAAAGCACTTATCGTCAAGAGGCTTAAATTACCCCTTAGAATCTTCCAAAATAGTGTTTTGAGTGCATTTGCTGATTATAAGGATTGGAAATTGCTTCCTTATTGCATAATACTTGAATGCTGTGTTGGGGTTCTATACTGCACTGAGCTCACATACACTATCTTGGTGGTAAGTCGTCTTTGTGTGGGGTTTCATGCTTCTAAAGGTGGTGTTTTATAGTGTACCAATTACTTAAAACGATAATTTGTGGACAGCTAGAATGTATTAAATAAACCGTTAAAAAACTTCTGTTAAAAAATAACGAGTATAAAGAAATAAAGAATATTTTTTGTTGCTTAAAAGATGAAACTTACCCATTTTCCTCTCCCTTATCCTTTTTATAATATAAACTGGGAAAAAATTCCTGATATAAATATTTCCAAAAACATGATCATGCCCAACAATACAATTTTGTGCTGTATAAAAGATGAAACTCACCCTGTGTTCCTCTCCCTTCTCCCCTATTTTAGTGTGGTATGAGGGTTCCTGCTCCCACTAGTAAGGTGTGAAGACTTTGATTTTAACCTTTGACCTCTCTACTCCTATACTACAGCGTGCTATTATATCATTGTGTGGATTAACTCCTCTGAGCCTACTAATCGTAACTAACCTGATCAAATGACGTACAAAACAAGGTTGAATAACGCAAAGGAAATATAATAATCACTGTAGTTTCAACAAGTAGGACTGGTGGGTGTGTATATCCAGACACTTTAATCAAACAAAAGCTGTCACATTTGTTGCTGTTGAATTTCATCAAAATTCAGCGTCAAATGACACTAACCAACATACATATTTTTCCTTTACAAAAAGTCCAACTCAAGTCTTGAACGTTTTGTGAAGCATTGCTTGTAAACTTCTCCAAAATGTTCAAATTAGTGTTTGAAACAAACTGTCCGGATAACCAGCCTGTCGGGACACATGACGTGTTGGTATACATTACATGTTTATGCACAAGCCAAAGAAAATGTATAAACTGAAAACAATACATAACAGTTTTATCTGATACTGGCTGCACTTTCTCTCGGAGTAGAATGGAACACCCTTGGTTCATCAGACATTGAAATTGCTGAAATAACCCTGACCTGAAATAAGCTGATCAGACATGGTTTAGATGTAGTAGCCTATGTTCGCTTCTCTGAGCCACAACTGCTAGATATATATATCTACACATTACACTAATAAATTACAATCAATATCTCTTTAACCCTTTGTGGTGTTAAGCATGTGTCTTTATAGTACATATAACTTCTTCATATGGTCGACAAGAATACGTAGGATCTTTGACACCAGTTGATTGATCGTTTTTCTTCCATTCTTGAAACTAAAGAATAGGGTTTAAAGTACACATGTACTAAGTTGTACATAGATTTATCCATCAGCCAACCTATCAAACAATTAATTCTTTTAGATCTTATTTCTCTTAATTTTCTTTTTAAATACGGTGTGTGTGGTGGACTACTTATTTTACCAAAGTGATATATCAATAATTCTCTCTAAAACTTATTCTTCTACTTCTCTTTTCCAGATTACTTTTTATTGTAGCAATCTCTGTAGATATATTCTCTGCATAATAACTTAATTACAAGTGCTTATTAATCCAGTACATACTAATTAGCTTACAATTAAAATGACAATAGTTTATGAAAAGGATTAAATGTTGAAAAGAAGTAGGGGAGAAGTAGGTCTTCAAATTTTTAAAAAGTGGGGGAAAGGAGATCTTAATAGTTCTAAACATTGAACGCAGAATGTATCCCATCAAAAGAAATAACATCATCCAATTTTGTAATAATTTGAGGACCACATAAATCTCTTTTTTGACAAACTTTATGTCAACACGATCTGCATCATGACTTGCCATCCTAAACGAACAGACGTGTTCACTGGATGCATATTTTATTCACAACAATCAATTTTGACAACTTAACTTTTGCTTCAATACCAGACTCTGAAAAACCATATCTTTTTAATGTTTACAATGTTTATGATAACTATATAGATCCAAACAGTGATAATGAGTGTATTGAATTGTCAATATTAAAGGGAAAAGCAGCTATTACAGGACAATAATGATAATGATAATTTGGATTGATAGAGCACTTGATTCAAAATACTGTATCTAAGTGCTTTAGGTTCCCATAGAGTGATAAATGTAGATTAATGCTTTGCCAAAGGATATTAGTGCCACTTGAAACAAGCATTTATGTCAGTGGGGCTGGTGAGGTTTAATTATTCATGCTGGAAAGGAGGTTAATTGTGTTTGCTTTGAGCGGGCATGGGCAGGATAACCTAAACTCTTATTTTGGGGAACTAATACACCTGAATTAAAACTAAGACCCCATTCTCACTCACTTTGAAAGTGGTCTTAGTTAGACCGCTCCAGACCGCTCCAGAGGAACGGGTCTTGAGGAACGGTTTGCGAGCGTTCACACTCCGAGCAGTTTTTATGGCTCAAACCGCTCCACGAGTCAAAGTGGTCTTGTTGCTATGGCAGCTCAGGTAGGCGGGTCAATTTTTTCGCGCGCAGAATCCAAACCGTATGTACCGTACTACATGTTTCGCACTGAAGGTCACTCAAAGTATGCTTTCCGTTCACATTGCACGTTAGAGCACTCTGGAGCGCTCTTAATAAGACCCGCTCCTCAAGACCACCTCGGAAGGTGGACTTCTGGAGTGGTCCAGAAGTCCGCTTCCTGGACCACTTTGAGCGTTCTCACTCACCTAAGACCCGCTCCTGAGGAGCGGGTCTTAGTTAGAGCGCTCCAGAGCGCTCCAACGAAGTGAGTGAGAACGGGGTCTAAGACTGTTTAATATTTCACATTGTTTGTAGAATCAATATGAACTTCCTATGAAATCTGAAATTTCTTTGATTGTAAATAGTTAGTCAGTTTTTGTGACATTACCATGGTATTTTTTTTACACAATAACACTAGAAGTTCCTGACAATTGTCTCATGACATTATTTTAAAAAAAAATTTATTGCCGTTATATCATGATTTGTCTACCGTATTCAATAATTTATTTATTTATTATTCATTATTTTAAAAAGTCAGTACATCATGTCCTACCTACATGTACATTTTTTTCTTTATTTATTCAAATATTGGGCACTATTGACCTATACAGTATATCTGTATTATTTACATATTTATGTACATGTATTTATTGATCCATTTTAATTATTATCAATTTATTCACCTGATTATCTGCTAGTGCAGCTAAACATATTATTGTAAGCATTGATCATAATTGATCTCCAGATGTTTCGTAATATCACTTGGGTGGAAAAAATGTACAGTGCCGTGAACTAATATGATTGCAGGGCCCTCAGGGAGAACAGTGTGAATACTGATGAAGTTACCCTGGGTAAACAAGACATATTATTATTATTATTATTATTATTATTATTATTTACTAGTATATTAAACTAAGAAGATAATAATCAATTATTTACTCCAATCAATTTGGAATATATATGCTTCTTGGCAATGCTAAGGTATACTACTTTCTGATATTTTCGACTTCTACAATATTTTGTTTCCCACAACAGAGAAGTGACACGTCATGTATTTTGGATTTTGTGGTGAGTTTGTGACTTTTTTAAATGCTCTTCAGACATGACTTCTTTGCTAACATCCTAGCATATCACATTAATATGTGTTTCATTTAACACTGTAGTCCCACAAACCATGATCTGTGTTGTCTGGTATAGCTCATATATATATATATATATATATACGATGGGGGAAGCGTACATTACCAACCTAAATCTACATAAGAGATGTACACCGTTATGGTGTGTATTAAAGTGTTTCAAAAGGTTTAGAGTATGCATTACGGGTTACTGAAATCCCTAAAAAGCATCTTTGGGAAGCCAAAATCATTGCTGTGTCAAAATTGACAATGTATCCAACTGTTTTGAAGTGAGAACAGCAAGTTTGAGTAAAAATAGCACAATAATCTCTAACCCTTACAATTCAAAAGGCCTATCCTATCATTTTTAATAAGGCCCTTTTGAACTGTCGAGCCGTGCTTCATTCAGTCACACGTATTGGTTTTGTCATTCCCTCTCCATAGACTACACTTAACTTACGTGTGACGGAATGAAACACACCGGTGCGAAAGGACATTAGCGCCTCTTTTAAAATCTATTATTCCCATGTGTAAACATTAAGAAGGCAGATTATTAACCCTGCACCTTTCAATGTAAACAACTGTTTCCATAGCTACCATACACTTCCTCCTTCTTCTAAATCGTTCATCACAACCGTTTTTTTTTAGTAATACCAAATGATCAATTCCACTTGATAGCAGGAACATTTCAATTGACTGAATCCTTGTGGGAGGCAGTTCATTCCATAAATCAGAAAAACAGTATTAATTGCATTGACCATATATGCAAACTTTCATATTCATACCCCTGGGCGAGATGCCATAGATATATGAACATGTCCATTACATACATTTCACTTTGAGATACATGAACATTACATGCAAATATTTGTGGAAAAAAGCAGAATTTGATACAATCTGAAAGCAATAAATACTCAAATACTGTCATCATACTATCTGTTTTGAGCCAGAGAGGGGCATTATCTCTACCGTTATATTAAAATATATGTGTTTTTTTTTTTGGGGGGGGGGGATGGGACTTTAATATGTTGTGTGTATAACTCTTTCTCTCTCTCTCTCTCTCATTCTCTCTCTCTCATTCTCACTTTCTCTTTCATCAAGGCATAAATGTTTCGTCACTTGTGTGTGTGTGAATGTAACAGGATTTTAGGGGGAAATAGCCCTCTTGTGTTGTTGTTCTACTAAAGTGAAGTGGATCTCAGGCACTCTATGTTCTGCCCCCCCCCTCTCTCTCTCTTTGTCTCTCTCTACCTACCTACCTACCCCTCTCCCTCTACCTACCTCTCCCTCTCTTTCTGTCTCTCTCTCTCTTGTCTTTCTCTCTCTCTCTCTCTCTCTCTCTTGTCTTTATCTCTCTCTCTCCCCTTTCTCTCTCTCTCTCTCTCCCCCTTTTTCTCTCTCTCTCCCCTTTCTCTCTCTCTCTCTCTATCTCTCTCTCTCTCTCTCTCTCTCTCTCTCTCTCTCTCTCTCTCTCTCTCTCTCTATATATATATATATATATATCACTCTCTTTCTCTATATCTCTTGTGTCTCTCTCCCTCATACACTGTATAGACAAATATGTTATCACTTGTGAATGTTATGGGATTTGAGGAAAACTAACCCACATGTTGTGTTCTTAGCAGATGTCTCTCTCTCTCTCTCTCTCTCTCTCTTTCTCTCTCTCATGCTGACTGATATCTTAACATTTGTAATGTAAATGTGGGACGGTATATGGAAAGTAACTCACTTGTTTTTGTTCTTCTAAGGAAGTGAATATCAGATCACAAATACTCTTATGTTTTGTTCATCCGTTTTTGTATGTATATCAGGTATGGTATTCTAGGACTTCATGTACAATCTTCACCTCAAATCTTGTAGAGTGTAAGGCAAGGTTTAACATTCTGTAGAAACGTGTCGTACACTTCACCGTTTTCCATGGTCTTTACAATGTATCTCACTCTTTTCTCGGTCTCTTTCTTCCTGCAACTTGGATAACAGTCCATGATTCGTCAACACAAGTGTGTTTCAATTATATGCACAGTGTATCTTAAAAGTAAAGTGGAAGTTGTTCACTTCAATAATCTTATCCTTGGTGTTCCAATGGCAAGTTAGAGGATGTGTTGTGGGAAGGCTGTCTAAACTGCAATGGATTCTAGCACAGCCACCTTCTGGGGGGCGTTTCACAAACATTTTTTTAATGACAAATAACAAAAATCAGTGACAAATCTGGTGATAACCAATCAGAAGCCAGGATTTCAGTAGCTTGTAACAAAAACTGTCATTTGTCACTGATGACAAGTTTTGTGAAACGCCCCCCTGGACACCCCTCTCTACGGTGGAAGTTGTCTAATCAATAAACCATAACAAATCAAAATCTAATAAAGGGAAAAGCAGCATGAAAGATGTTCATGTGTGGGTATATGGTCGTTCGTGAAGTAGGCAACTTGGCGATCACTACATAACACCGAGGCAACGGGTATTACGCTCCTGTGCGTACGTCTGTGTGCTGCCCTCTATATACCCACGCTTGAGCGACTTTAAAGGATGCATCGTGGAAAGATCTGTCATAGTGTGATGGATTTTAGGACATAACACAAAGCTTAGCAATTGACCGTACCATTGATTTATGCAATCGATTGCACATAGTAATCAATGTAGTCAGTCGCAAAATCAGTTGTACAAGGTAGAATCAGCTATGTGCTAAGATTGATGTTTTTATAATATGCTGCTACATATATTAAACCTCAAGGATAGTATAACACAGATATTCCATGTGAAAAGGAAGGATTTACAGGGGAAGAGCACTTCAATGCAGAGGTTTAATATATGTAGCAGCATATTATTAAAGGTATTACAAAGTTTTGGTATGGGGTTGTAAATTTGGTTCAAATTAACAATTTCGGAAGCATATGCATTCCTACAATATTCATTGATCGTTATCGCGGTTGAAATCTAGTCTAAAATTGTGAAATTATAAATAATAAACTCTTTATGTTGTATAGCTCCCTCTCGAGGTCAAGATATTAATTTAGCTATGAAACAATGTTTCTTGACTAAAATCGACCGATTAGCTATTTCCGTTTGGAAATTATGTATCCCAACTACATATTCTGAGATTTTTATGGTCGCAGCTACCATTGTACGGCCAAAGGCGCTATTTGAAATGTATCAAAATTTACCGGGAGCACCTGTAAATTTTTATATTCAATTTTTCTCGAAAACAGAAGTGTTTTAGGGGCTAATTTGTTTAGTGCTTATAATACATCCACAGGGGCATCCAAATATAACAAAATTGTAAAGATTCACTATCCACCCAATTTTCAAAATTTCCCCAAACTTTGTATTACCTTTAAAGAATCAATCTTTGCACATTGCTGATTCTACCTTGGAAAAAAAGAAGAGAAATTTGTATTTATTCCAATATTAAAACCAAACAAAAAGTAGTTCCAATCCATACAAAGTTCATAAAAATAAGCGAGAGTTTAAATCAGTTATTACTCATTGATCATGACATACATGTCTACATTACCTTTAACCTTGCATTTTGTTATTTAGCTCTTTACTTCCTGTTGTGGTCCCTTCCTGTTGAATACCACAAACTGTAAAATAACATCCCATATTATCTCTTCCATGTTCCTTACAAATACATGTATGTATTCTTCATTGATGTACATCAATATTCTGTTTGAAAACATATACATCACTTTACAATGCAATGTAACAAATCAATATCTTGTTTGGAGACATATATATATCATATAAATCAATTTACAATGTAATGTAACAAATCAATATTCTGTTTGTAAACATATATATAAATCAATTTACAATGCAGTGTATATAGCAAAACAGAAGGAAAATTATATCCAGCAGAAACTCTATATTTCTTTTTGTAATAACATGACATATAATGCATTAAGTAAATAATATAATGTATTATACAATACCTACGTGGATCCTTGTCATTTGATTGGAGGATTGTTGGTCACATGATATTCAATAGATGTTATATTGCACGGGCTCCAAATGTTATTTGCTTTCATTGACTATTAATTAATAGGCCAAAACCTACCGGTAGTTGAAAGTAGGGCGTTTAGACCCTTTTCTTCAATGACACGGCCCGTTATGTCTGGAAGAACATTGTGCTACTCGCAATTTATTTTTTAAAATCATTGGTCACCGAGGAGCATTCATTTTTTTCCATCCGCATATGAGAGAGCTTCAGCCCCCAAAGCTCCCCCACCCGACACACTAGTGGATAAGATTAATAGATTTATATAAAATTATTATAGAGCTTGGTCATTTAGTGTGGTACAATGTATCATTGCTTAACAAAAATGTACTAGTAATTGAAAACTTCAGATTCAAACATTCTGAAACCAGTGAAAACTGGGGTAATAGCAGTGTAAGTGCTTTTGTTGGTTGTTTTAACTGGTAGGATGCTATATCAGAAACAGTGTATTAATCTGTCTCTGTTCTGATCCTGATCAAGAGGGAAATATAGTTGACTAATACGAACGTTATCATTTAAGAGAGAGTTTTTATTGCATTCCATTCACATTGCAGTTGTGGGGATGGACTATGCTTATATTACCCCTTTGGATTGCTTCCCAGAGTCTGGGTTAAAGAATTTAGGTAACTGTCTCAGATTCTGAAACAAAATCCTTGATTTAGTTCATGCTGCAATGATAATTATAAACCTGTAGGTCAGTCAGGAACTCCATGACTTTTACAAGCCGATCACCTGTCTGATTTTCAAGATATTATGATTTTCATAACACTACAGTCTATTGAGGAAAAACGAGTATGGTAAAACCGGTCACTCAAAAATTGTTACTTTTTGAGGCACTTCATGATCATTTTGAAGCGCAATTTTTTTAGGGCTTCAATATTACACAATATCACAGACACTTCTAACACGTAGGGCCGTGCATCTCAGATTTAACATTGTTAAACGATGCCTTTAATGTTATTATTGTTATTTTATCTATCTCCTGATATCTGTACAGGGGAAGGTAGCACAGACAGCATGCATGTCCACCTGTAAGCACTTGGCTTCTTCGCTCATGTACTTCTTACTGGACTCCAACACCAGGTTTGTTTCCATGGGGGCCATTCAGCAGTTCAGCCTTGACGTCATTCAATGTGAACGTGAGTACAGCCCCATTCCTTTCACAGTGGTTTTAGTTTTCTTATGTAACTATTTGTTTGGGATCACCAGTGCCAGCACTGATTCTACATTGGAAAATAAGAAGAGAATTTTGTATATATTCCAATAATAAAACCAAACAAAAAGTAGTTCCAATCTATACGAAGTTTATTAAAATAAGCAAGAGTTTAAATCAGTCATTAATCATGACTACATTCCTTTCCCCCCAAACATGAGCCTGCATCGAGAACAGAGGGGAGGGAGGAGCACACTTACACACAACATGGCAACAATCATTTTTGGATCATTGTCTGCTCAGCCCAGGACTCAAACCCAGGCGCATGACAAAAATCATGAGAGCCTTACGACAATCCGATTGTGCCTCCTTTGCAGGTTTTTTTGCTCCCAATGCGACCGATTGGAATGCACACTGGTAACCTCGTACACCAAGAGTACAAGAAGTTCTGAACATCCATAGGTGGTGACTCTCCAACACATTGGGCTTTCATTTTACATCCTTTCTGAGGGACTCTGTTCCAACTGAAACTTATCCTTATGCCTATCGCATTCTCAAATTTCCCTGTACTTTCTTGTTCCCAAACAGAGTTTGCCAATTCTGAGCCCGTTCCTGGTTTCCGTGACGGAGCTCTTCAAATGGTATTCTTAGAGCTCCGGCAACTGCTTGATCTCTTCATGGCTTGGGACTGGTCATCTTACTTTGCTGACTATGGTCAGTCTACGGGAAAATACTACAGAGTCAATGCTCAGACTGCCATTAACGTCTTAGAGAAGTAAGTCTATTATACAGTCAAACGTTTCTATAGCGACTGCCAAGGGAAACACAAAAAATGGTCTTTGTAGACAGGTTCCTTTAGTACATGTTTCAATGAGAAACCATTTTCAAGGGAAACAACAAATGTGGCCTTTGTAGACAGGTGGTCTTTGTAGACAGGTGGTCACTAAAGCAGGTTTGACTGTACTTAAAAGCAATAATAGTGGAGTCTTGTATAGTGCTCATGTATGGCACATTGCCTCTCCTGGCACTACATTATTATTACACTGGCTTTAGCATGGCTGCCATTACAGCATTCAAACATTTAATGGAACCGATTACTGCCAAGTACCCATTTACCTCACCTGGGTGGAGTGTGGCAAATGTAGATTAATGTCTTGCCAAAGGACATTAGTGCTGCAACAGGGATTTGAACCCTGAACCTTGTGGTTCACAGTCCGAGAACTTATCCACTGGACCACAACACCGCTACTTAGCTTAGTGTTGGATTTGCTACAAACTCCACTTTTTGACTTGATACAATAGTTTGATAGAAATAAGAATGTGTTTCTTTTGATTTGATATGTACGTATCATTTTTATTCGATAAGCCACCAGCATTCTTGAACGAGAGTTTTTTGATATTGCAAGAATTGTTGTGTCTTGCCCATGAAAACTTATTTTTCTTTGCTTACAACTTAACATTTTAAGTCTAGTTTTGTTCACTTGTTTATATTATTTGTAGTTTTAAATATACAATTCATATTATGGTTTCTGTGTAAGTTTTATTTCTCTGTCATGTCTGGAACTAAAGTTTTTTTTACATATTAACAGAGGGCAAGTAATTATTTCTAGTTGTGTTTAGATTTTTTTGATTTTTTGGGGTGGGCATGTTGTGTAATTTTAGCATTTTCAATTGGAAGATAAATTAATAAAACAAGAAAAAAAGCCTTCCTCAGGCACTCTTGAAAATGTTTGAAGGATGTAGATAAAATTTGACTTATAACTTTGTTAGATTTCACCAGTGATCTTACAACAAATATTTAATTATAATGGTATGCAATTTTGTTTAAATGTTTTTTTGGTTAAATTAAAAAAGAAATTACTCATCAAAATCTTATTATGTCTTAAACCTCAGAATGCGAGATACAGACAAGAAGAAAAACCTCTTCACAACATTCAAGAAGAACGAGAGAGATCGCAAGAAGCTCATGGACACTGTCCTGAAGCAGCTCAAAGCTCTGGCGCCCTCTATCAACAACAAGTAGGCATGCACAAGGTCAAAGGTGAAGTCCTCCCGATGCATTCCTGCCGTGCATGCAATCGATCAGGATCGCAAAGAGAAGTAAGAGCTGGAATGATGTCTGCACTGTGTATTGATGCAGTCACGTTCAGATATGTCATCCTACCTGAAATTGTCTGTGTGTATAAGTGATACTATAAAACAGGAATGTATGTGTGAAGTGTAGTATGCTTAAATCACACACACACACACACACACACAATCAAACACAGCCTGCTTTAATAAATCTCACATACCGTACACACAAAACAATGCTACAAGTAACATCTGTGAACCAGGCTCCATAGAGTACCGAAGCTGTGACATCATAAAATTTATTTTTAGAATTTCTCAATGTTTTTCTTCATGTTCCAAAAGAGCATCAAAAATAATGTCCGAATGTTGAAAACCGATTGAATATGTTAAGTATGGGCTGAGATATAACCATCTGAATAAATATATGTCTTATGGGAACTCAGTATTTTAGCGCTCTGGTTCCTAATAACATAACATAACATAACATAACATAACATGTGAGTTCCCATAGGACATTATTTATTCAGATGGTCAATACTCAGCCAATACTTAATAAATTCAATTGGTTTTTGACATTCGGACACCATTTTTGATGCTCTATCGGAAAATGAAGAAAAAATTGAGAAATTCTAAAAATAGATTTTTGATGACGTTACAGTTCACCACTCTATGGTTCTCATCATGTTATCCACCTACATGTATGTGTTATACATGCCCAACACCGTGAAATCAATTTGAAATGAGTCATTAAAAAACAGTTGACTAGTTCACTGATGTAGAGATAAAGAGAATGTGAGCAAATCCTTTTTTACTTTATATTCTTTGTAATACCATTCAAAGAGTCTCGATGCAAAGTATGATTTCTGAGGTTCTGGAGCAAGGATATAAATTGTCTAAAAGTACCTGGAAATTGCAAATGTTCAAAATTCAAGACCAATATGCCAGCTTGAGATTCTCTTATATAATGGTCTGAATTTATGAAATCATGAAGATGATTATTTATTTATATAGTTACATGTTTCTTTTGAATATGTACAAGGCATAGAATCGTTACTGTTTCATGATGTGTTGCAAAGCAAGCAACTTGTGCTCCCTATTAAACGTGATGTATAGGTAAGCTTTCCCTTTAATCCTTTCAGGGCAGAATTTTATTTTAGAGCTAATTGATCATGTATTGTTCTTCGAGTTGGCAACAATTATATTTTTCCTTTATCACTACAGTGATAAAATAAAATACAATGTCTATGGAAACAATATCCATGGGTGAGGATGTTGTAAAAAAAAGTATTTATTGAAAAATGATCAATTTTTAATCTCTCAACGTGGTGTTGTCAATTTAAGGATTTTAAAACTTATTTTCCTCTTTGAAATTCCTAACATCAAATGCAATATATGTTGTGTACAGACATTTTGGCCCTTTCTTTTTGTGTTTCTGGTTTATTTTTTAGGGCTGTGAATCAAGATTTGTTTTGAGCCCAAACTATAACAAATATGGAATAATTGTTTGGATAGAGTCGACTCTTTACAGACTTCAATAAATTAATGGAACAAATGGTTGATTGTTTGGTTGGTTGCTTGTCAACGTTAGTTGCATTGTAATTTATGTGCTACACATCAGCGACTTCTTCCTCCAATGCTCTCGCTTATCCCATCATTTACATTGTTAGATTGCTATTAGTAACAATAAAGCAAACAATTGCAAGGCACACCTGTGTGTCCCTCTGATGCATACAGTGACTCAACATTGTCACTTGCAATGTTATTGCACAATTTCATCGCGCTTTACCAGGAAATGATATCCTCTCTTAGGATGTGGTCCTGCATTCAATGAGTAATAGAAATGTTACTCAGCAGGAAATTATTTTCTTAGTACCGGTAGATATAGGAAGTTCTTTTTTGTTGTTTTGATGTGACTTGTCCCCTTCAATAAATAAGTCACATTTTTAGAGACTGAATGCGATTTAAACAATGCTATGTTACCTAGCCAAGCAATTATTGCATTGAATATCGCCTTAGTTATTTGAAAGGGACTTAGTATCATTAGTAGAGACTTAAATGTAGTATCATTATGAAATACAAAGTATAATTTACATATTTATTTATTATTTAGCATGCCTGTTAGGTCTCTTCTTATGTTATTAGGGACTTTTAGATATGTGTGGACTGATACGTGTGACGTCCATTTAAGGCAGTGCATTAAAAGGACGTCGACCGTAGCAATCCACATTGTCTTCGTGCAAATCTAAAAGTCCCTGTTGTATGTGTGTGTACGTCCAGTGTACAAAATGTCTGTAGAACAGGATAAATGAAACAGAAATACTGATAGATTAAATATTGTATAGTGTATAATTGTATATACAAATGCAAAAGAAATAGAAATATATTGATATATGAATACTGTGAAAATCTATAATCTATTTTACTTTTTGATAGCTGAACGCTTGTTGGTGTGTCTGTAGTGTCTTGTCTGCACTTTGTACGTTAAACATTGTATAGTGTCAGATTAGTTGATTAATTTGTATTTAAGTGATTCCAGTGTGACTAAGATTTTTTTCTCTTCATGTGTTAGTAATATCTTGATTCTCATGCCTCACTCCTCTTCCCAACCTTGCCCCCGCCTTCTCTCTCTCTCTCTCTCTCTCTGGGAGAATACACAAAATAATTACAACTGAGGAAAATAGTTATACAATTCTTTGAATTTAATTCATAACATAAAACTTACATTATGTTTGCTTGGCAAACTTTATATTGAAAATCCGGAAAAAATATGATAGAGACAAGGTTCAGACACAAAGAATTTTAAGTTTAACATGTAACAGCGACAGGTTTGAATCTTAGAATTACATGTTTGAACATCACTGACGAGTTAAAATTCCTTCTTAACCAAAACTATTTCTTCAATATTAGTCATTAAAATCCTTCAAAGTATGGAGCTTCCAGGGCTCCCTTAAAAGGCCTGGAACTGGGCTGTGAGGGACTTTGCGCTTCACGTTCATACTCTTTTCAAGTTGCAAAATTAAAATGTGCGAATTTTTTTTGAGGACCGCCCTGATAGTAATATGTATTCATCTTATGAACACATCGAGATGATGAGATGTTAGGTTGTGCATATTAAGTATTCGCATTACAAAGTATTTCAGAAATGGAATGGTAGTTTTTGAAAATGATGGGTATTTCAATCGCAGCAAATAAAAATGATTTAATCTCCTAGTTTCTTACACTACTTTTAAATGATGTTCTTATCAACAAAGTATATTCAATTTTTTTTCGTAGAAAATAAATTCATTTTATTCTCAACATTAGCTGCTATCAAAGTAAGCACACATTGTGAGTTGATACATGTACATGATTCCAACAATAAGCAGTTCATTATTGTTATACATGTATGAGGTGGTACAAATACTTATACATGTAGTATGGATATTAAATGTTTAAATTAATGGAAAATGTAGCCATGATTATAAATCTTTTTTTCCTTAAAAGTTTTCCATGATTCCGATAATGGAACACAACATAGTTGTTTCTTTGTCGCATGAAGAGAAAAAAAAGTAGTTTCCAGAAATCTAATTTAAATTGTCTTCTAAAGCTACGTGTCATATTTCTGCTATTCGACAAGACAGACCTGCGTGTCTTTATATGCGTTATGTATGCATTACATTACCATGTATATAATACTTTTACAATGCTTGCCAACTGAATATGATTTCTATGTATTGTGTAAATAAATACTTGAACATCAGTGACATGTTATCTTGGGTTCAATCTTTTCATTGTGATGTGGAGGTTTCGATCATCGCAGTATCCAAAAGGTTACCGGATTCATTAAAGTACATTGTTACTTAGTCTTGGATGACATCATTACAGATCAAGATATAAACCCTCGCCTCAAAATGGGGGGGGGGGGGGGGGGGTCTTAAGATATGCCCTGGTAACCTGCAGCATGTTTTTTTAAAACTATTTTAATTATGCAATACTATTCAATTCAATTTGTTGTCCATTCAAAACACAATAATTACATAATGTATACATACAAAAAATACATTGAAGGACCCCTAAGAAAGCAAAGTAGCTTATTAGGAGGGGCCTGTACGATGTATTGAAGTGTAATAAGCTTCACATCTAGCAGTCAAACTCATAGACAAATTCTTCATTTTTATAAAACAATTCAAAGTTAGAATAAGTACGGAGGCTGACAGAAGACTCGAGTTCTAAAATCAATAAGGCACCAGAATCACTCTGATTTTCTATTGAATAATAATTTTGAATAACCCATTAAATACCTGGGTGGAGATTGGCAAATGTACATACATGTCTTGCCAGAGGATGTTTAAAAAGCGTAAAGCATGTAATCCACAGTCCAGTGACCTATCCACTTAATCAAAATCTCATCCAACTTTGCCCCGAAATACAAATATTGGAATTATGATTCTTCTGTAATAAATTCCCAAGTCTTTCTGGCAGTATAAGGTCAATATGTACAAATTTTTATGACAGAATTGATACAGAATATATATCTACATTGTATCTAAAATGTTATTACTACATGTAAAGCAAGGCAAATGCGTCTTCATCTCCTATATGCATTTGCTCTAAATTCAGTATAGGAAATGGATGGAATTATTTGTGACATATCACAATGAAAACAGACCAAGAACAGTGATGCCCCTTACTGACCCATTTCCCAAACGGACAAACCCAAAACCTACTGGTAATGCCTCCGACACCACCTTTGGTGGGCGGAGGCATAACAATACATGTATTTTTCAATTGCAATTGCACCACAATGTCATAGTAAAATTCAATTTTACAAATACTTTTTACAACATAAGATCATAGTTTGACAATGTAAGTTCACACAGCGTGTCTTATCAAAGCGATAAAAGTCCAATTTGAGCCCATTCATAAGTTTGTAAATAAAATAAAGCCTGAAGTCATGCTGGGGGCTAGAATTGTCTAAACTGTATGAGATCATACTCTTCTGGTTTTAGACACATAAATATAAATATAAAAAGAGACTGTACAAATATCTACCACAGAAAATCTAGTCTTTATGGCTAGCCCCATGTACTTAGTATTACCAGGGAGATGTTTAAACTCACATCTCCCTGGTATTACATGTATTTATTGTACTATGTACATGCATTACACAATACTATCATACAACCAGAAACTTTCTAAAAACACAACAGCTATGTTCATGACAAAAAAGAAATGTCATAACATTCTGAAAGTTTGTGTTGTGGTGAATGTGATTTAATGTGATACGGCAGCATGAAACTTTTGCAGGTCTTAACCAATCATGAAATTTGTGACAGTTTCATGCATCCATGTTAAAAAGTCTGGTTGTATACAACAATGCTTTTTTTTGGTATAACTTGTCATTTTTTAAATTTTCTATAATAGGCATTTCAGTTCAGTTCAGTCTTTATTTCATTCTTATTAAAGATAACAAACATAAAATATATACATAACAGAGTAATACCAATAAAAATCAATACAGAGAAATTAGAACAAATATCGCAATCTGTATTGCCGTGCAGTGGCAGCGATTTTTGTGTCATCCTTATATTCGAGGGCGGGACAAAGATCTCCTCTCCCCCAGCTCCCTGCTGTCTAGATTAGAGTATAATCCAACTCAATAAAAAATTTGAAAGGAATCTGTCAAGAAATAGCTCAAAAGACATCCACCAAAATATGACCGTTGACCCTATAACAGACGGAACACAGGTGGCAGCATCATCAAACACTAAAGACGTATATATTTTACTAAGACACACCTCCATACAAAATTTGAAAGAAATGTGGTACAGCATACATGTAAAAGACATACATGTATGACCTTTGACCCTTTAAAGGACGAAACAATGGGACAGCATCACCTAAAAGTGTAGATTGTACCAAGATACAACTCCATACACAATTTAAAAGAAATCTGTCAAGAAATTGATGCAGTTAGGCGGCACACTAGAGTTCACGCAAAACATCAAAGTATCACCTTTGACCCTATAAAAGACGGAACACTGGAGGCAGCATCACCAAAATCTGTAGATTATGCCAAGATACACGTTCGTTTAAAATTTGAATAAAATCCCTTGAGAAATGTGGCCTAAAGAGCGCACACAAACCATCCTCAAAAATATGGCCTTTTACCCTATAGAAGACGAAACACTGGGGGCAGCATCACCAAAAGTTAGAGGTGTGTAGATTATACCAAGATATACTTCCATATAAACATTTGAAAGAAATCTGTCAAGAAATGTGGCAGTTAGAGCGCACACAAGAATATGACGCGGCGGACAAGGCAGCGTAACGTTACTGAATCCAAAGTATCCTCTGGCAAACTGCCAGGGGATACAATTATGAGAATGAGGGGTCAACATAAAAGAGCAAATAGCCTTATAGTACATTGACCCCAAACTTAACAATACATACATAATTATAACAAGCAAATATAAAAGATTGGATTTGAATTTCTAACAAATATACTCTACTTTTCTTTAAATGTTTTACAATCATAGAATACATACATGTATGTAATGAAAGGAATATGGTCCATATCACAATGGCATTATTGGAATTAATGATAACAAAAACGATAACCACAAGTATATTTACATTTCATCAATACACAAGATCAATGGAAATACCTTTTTCTGCACATAATTTTTGACTGGAAGGTAATACTCCCTTTCCTGATTGTACATTTAAATTCAATCTGAATCATAGAGTTGCAAGCATTTAAAAAGTACTGCTGCATGTAGTACTTAGAATGTACATCTTATCTTCAAGCATAATGTAAGATGACTATTATTAAGAAGAAATACATGTATACTTGATAGGGAAGATTGCAAGAAGCAGCAGATAAAGGCAGTCTGTGAAAGTTACCTTCAGCAGTACACATCTGCTTAAGAAATGTGAAAAGTATAGAAACATAGAAGAAAAAAAATCAATCTCAATTTTGATAATCAATTTGAACACATAAGTACATGGTGGGACACACTGAAAAGTGAGATGCTTGTTGGCAGGGTCGACAATTTTGTGCGGACATTATATTAGGTGGACCCTTTCAAGGGTTCGAATCACCTGAGCGAGGATGTCTGAACATCAATTTTTGGGTACAATTTTGAACACCAAAAAGACATACGGTATGAGGTATTTTTAGGTGGCTTGACTTGGCCCATCAATTCACAATCTGTTTTTTCCAGCGCACCCCCCTCTAGTTACAAGCTTGTTTATACTGAAGATTATTAGAAACAAATATGTATAAAAATTTATGGTCCTAATATTGAGTCCTGAGGTACCCCAATAGTCATTTGGGTATTAAGGGATAAGGATTTCTGAATAATAATTGTTACTTTGGGGTTCAGCACATTCTTTTTACCTTTTTTGACACTTTGTACATGCTTGTATCCAATCTGTTGTGCCCTTCATTCTACTTAAATATCCAAAGCTTATCTTTAGAACTCAGCGCTACATGATTGCCATGCTTTTGAGCAGCAATGCTGATATATAAACAATTTTCAATGATCTCATCTTTCAGGATTTCCTCTCTTTTCCCGTGCTGAGTAAACTTGTCAAAAGTCAATCTTGCCTTAATTGCCCCTGGAGCATCAGTATTTCCGATGTCCTCTTTGCTCGGCACTATTTTCAAATCAGCAACGTAAAGACTACCACAGTTGTCTGCGGAACAGTATACATACTGCCAAGAATTGTTTGATAGGGACACTGCTTCACTGCCATCAGGGTTCAGAATCTTGATGATAGGTCCAGAGTCCTCGATGCCTGGCTGTGAGATGACAAAATTTCCAGTAGGTAAAGCATGAAGCTGCCTAGGTTTCACACCAGAACATGAAATGGAGTGATCAATCAGGCCTTCTGCGGACAGAAAATCAATGCAGCCATTCAGACAATCACCAGCCAAGAGTGTGCCAGATGGCCCAACAGCAATGGAATACCAGTCGTGACCTGCAACTGGTTTAAAGTCACGAAGAAACTCTAAATCTAAGCCATAGATCTGGATGTGTTTTCCAAGAACAGCGATTTCACCGCAAGGAAGAACAGTGATTCCCCTTAATGACCCATTTCCCAGGAGCATTTCAATGTTCTTTGTGTTAATAAGCTTTCCGTTATCTGCATAGATGGAAAGCTTGGTATCATAGCGGCTCATTTCAACCTGCTCCTGAGCAAAAACCAGATCTGCTGCAGATGTATGGGATTGAGAGACATTGTGTGATGCTCCTAGAACAAAGCCACCTTTGGGAAGAGGCGCTAGAAAGGAACCCGCTTTACCCACTTCACTCAATGGAACACTACACACCAGCTTCCACAAGCATCTCACCTGACCCACGTCATAGGCTCTCACCTCCGGAACCAAACTCATTCGTGACATTCTACTCCTCACAGGATTGAGGCATAACTCATCACTTATTCCTGCACGCTCCACTTCCTCCTTGGTGCTCTGTAGTATCATATCACGCTTTGATAAGATCTCTGTTGCATCTCCGCAATTAATAAATTCTTGTGCGACAAAGATGACTTCTGAAGATGCAGCTGTTTGGTCCTGAGAAGGTGTGATAGAAGGCCGTAGATCCTTGAGCAGCTGCTGCCTTTCATCTTTAAGTTCACATAGTACATTGCTTCTATGATTCTCAACCAGCTGCAAAACATTCTCGATGTTTGTTTCCACTTCCTTGCTTAACGCATCAAACTTGTCATTCACTCTTGTCTCAAGGTCTAAAGCATTAGCGCACATTTCTTGACTGTGTTTCACTTGATCTTTTAGTTGATCCAAGCTTTTACTGATCTCGATCTTTATCGCAGCAACAGCGCTCTGGATCTCAGTGAAAGGATGCCCTCGTTCATGATGGTCATCACAGCAATCATCACAAAGAGGTTTCTGGCAAGGGACACATAGGTGACCGGCAAGGCGCTCTGAATGTCCAGGCTTGTAACACTTACTCTTCACCTCACTTACTACGACACTCTGCAGAAAGTCCCTGTGTTGTGCCTTGTATGCGTTATGAGCAGAGATGCAATTGTCGCAGATGTACATGTATTCTTTGCAAGCGTCATGACCACAATAGTGTCGAGCAGGATGTCCTCTGCAGATATCACACTTGACTGAAGAATGAACGTACAGAACTGGTTTAGTGATGGAGTCCATTGTGTCGGTAGATCTTCAGGCTCCTAAGCAGAAGGAGAGGGGGGAAAAGCCATTATTTTGAAAGTTCCCTCTTCTTCATTAATCCATTAAGCATTTAAAGGTATAGACCAGTACTGGTCATGCGATTCATTGTGAAAGAAACGTTGTGGAATCGATCAGAAAAGGTTGATCATCTAGTATATAAGTATTGGTGTGTACTGCAAGGTTCTGGAATCATCAAAATGACTAGAAATTTGGCCCAGTCTTGGTAAGGTTACAACTTACAAGTACTGCCCATAGGAAAGTGAAAAGTATGCCGCAGACCTGCCGCAGACTTTTAGTCTGCGGCAAAGAGTATGCCGAAGTATGCGGCAGAAAGAAATTTTGCTGCAGACTTGGCGCATACCAGTATGCCACAGGAACAGTCCGCGGCAGATCTGCGGCAGGATGAAATTTTGCTGCAGACTTGCCGCATACTAGTATGCCACAGGAACAGTCTGCGGCAGATCTGCGGCAGGATGAAACTTTGCTCCAGACTTGCCGCACACTAGTATGCCACAGGAACAGTCTGCGGCAGATCTGCGGCAGATCTGCGGCAGGGCGAAACTTTGCTCCAGACTTGCCGCATACCAGTACGCCACAGGAACAGTCTGCGGCAGGTCTGCCACAGGAAATCCCATTAAAGTCTAATAGGGCCAATTGAAACCAATCATCTCATGCATATTCATTATTACTTTACACGTGTGACAGAAAAATACATTTATCATGATTTGTTAAGCAAATTAAGACAATGCACATCATTTTTGTGATTTCTATTTTCTTTTGCCATTATTAACCAATAGATTATTTTGTCTGATCATGTTACAATTACATTCACGTTTAAGCAATAGATATATTGATTACTAACCAAGAAACTATGATTACTAACCAAGAAACAATATACATATTTAGTATATACAATGTATATGTGTATACGTGTAAATGTTACTCTTGAATACACTTCAAATGATCAATGTGATGAAGTTAATACAATTGAGAATAGAATATACCTAATTGGTAATATCGACATACAGTACATATTGGTATTACCTAATTGGTAATATCGATATTGCCAATATCGATTATGAAGTATCAGTTTATCACTGGTTCTTCTACATGCATACTTTATTGCCACGTACTGGATATGAAAGAGTATGCGGCAGGTCTGCAGCAGGTCTATATGAGATATGAATATTCATGACGAAGAGTCTGCGGCAGGTCTGCCGCAGACTCTTCATCATACTGAAAGAGTATGCGGCATACTGAAAGAGTATGCGGCAGGTCTGCAGCAAGTCTGCGGCAGACCTGCCGCAGACTCTTCATCATACTGAAAGAGTATGCGGCAAGTCTGCAGCAGACCTGCCGCAGACTCTTCATCATACTGAAAGAGTATGCGGCAGGTCTGCAGCAAGTCTGCGGCAAGTCTGCGGCAAAACTAATTTGCATGTGAAAAAGATGACTGTCTGCGGCAGGTCTGCTGCAGATCTGCGGCAAGTCTGACGCAGGAGTATGCGGCAGGCTCATTTCTTCCCTATGGGTGTACACAGAAAGATGTATATGGGACTACCCTATATCTTTCCAGTCCGGATAGATATAATAATTTACCAAATCAATTAGTAGGCGGTTTCCCGGCAAAATTTGTATCATCATGTATTATTTAAAACATAGTCTTTCACATAAGATGAAAATCCAATTGAAACCAATTGAACACCAATTGAATTTTCAATTGGTTTCAATTGGTTCCAATTGGTTTCAAGTGGTTCCAATTGGTTTTAATTGGTCTCAATATGTTTTAACAGGTTTCAATGGGACTTTAATAGGACTTCAGATGGTTTCAATTGGCCTCATTGGCCTCGGCCCCATTAGACTTTAATGGGACCTCAATTGGTTTCAACTGGACCAATTGGCCTTAAGTTGGATTTCAATTGGCCCAATTGAAACCAATTGAAAACCTTTTAAAGTCTAATGGGGCCGATTGGTCCAATTGAAATCCCATTAATGGGCCAATTGAAACCAATAGAAACCAATAGGACCCATAGAAACCAATAGGACCAATAGGACCAATAGAAACCGATGAGACCAATATTACCCAATGGGACTAACAGAAACCAATAGAAACCATTAGAAACCAACCGATCTATGTATCTCATGCATATTCATTATTATACAAATAATGAATGGTTATGAGTTCAATAGTGCGAATATTTTCATGAGTTGAAAGATTAACATTCTATTCAACGAGGCGTCTTATTAAAATATTCGCACCATTGAACGAATGAAAAACATTCATTATTTGTTTTATACAACATCGAAGAAGATCTAATAGAACGTTACTCAACAAATTATGCTTTACTCCTTATATCAAAGATAAATTCAAGTTGGATTCAAGCCTTCTCGATTACATTCAGATTGCCTTCGCGTCAGATACACGCAGGGATACGCGCGCGCACGGCAGAGAGGTACGCAGGCTGCATATAACCAAAAATGCATGGCGCATATAACCAAAAATGCACGACCGTGCAATATACCATCTATTGAATATCATGTGACCAACAATCCTCCAATCAAATGACAGGGATCCACGTAGGTGTTGTATAATACTTTATTATGTGTCACAGAAAATACATTTATCATGATTTGTTAAGCAAATTATGACAATGCACATCAATTTTGTGATTTCTATTTTCCTTCTGCAATTAATATTGACCAATAGATTATTTGTCCGATCATGTTACAATTACATTCATGTTTTAGCAATAGATATATTGATTATTTGATTTCTATAACCAAGAAACAACATGTATGTTTATATGTGTGTACGAGCCTATATCTGTTCAAAAGTTAATCTTAAATGCACTTCAAATAATCTATGTGATGGAGTTAATGCAATTGAGATTAGAATTGCCTAATTGGTGGACAGTTGTCGATAATGATTAGGAAGTATCAGTTTATCACTGGTTCTTCTAACTGGATCGATTTACCAATTGATTCCCCATTGAATGTCCCCATTGAATCCAAATTGAATACCAATTGGCAATTTGGAGTACATGGAAAGTGAAACAATGGGTACCTATTGGAACCCATTGGCAATTAGTCCCCATTAAAACCAATTACCAGTTGGTCCCCATTAAACCAATTGCCAATTGGTTTCAATAGGTAGGCCTACCCATTGTTTCACTTTCCATGTACTCCAAATTGCCAATTGGTATTCAATTGGGATTCAATGGGGACATTCAATGGGGATTCAATTGGATTTTCGTCTTGGGATATGATTGGTAATAAGAGCTTTAATTTCAATTTTTGAGAGGGGGGCGTTCCCAAAAACTGATCTTTAAAAGGGCATAAGGCTTGTTCAATAGAAGGCACCTGATACATATATAAATTTAAGTTAAAAAAAATAAAAATCAAGAGACAATGATCAAATATATATTAACATACCTTCAGAGACCCCCCCCCCCCCACATCGGCCCCCAATACACACACAGAAAATTTGACATACCTTTACTGAAAATGAAAAACAAGACTTTAATTAACGCAAAGTAATCCGTCAAATATAAGATAATTGCATAATTTGCCCCGCAAAATGTAATCCGTTTGTATCACTTTTTATTTAGAATTTTGATGACATCTTCTCCTAATATGAAGATTCCTAGACCCTCCTCGGTAAGTTCAAATTTTTTTAAATGACCACAGTCGACAGCAAAATTTGCTGATCTTTCGTCAATAATAAATAATATTTAATTTTTATATAGCGCTTAATACAAATGTCTCTAAGCGCTTTACAAATATACTATTACCCAGGTCATTCGATTTAGTGCTTGCCCGCACACAATGTGTGCACAATCTCCACTCTCTGGGGAGCATTCCAGCCAGGCGTTACATGACGCTCAAAAAACTGTTTGACCAACAATGACAGTCGCATCCTACCTGGTACCCATTTAACACCTGGGTGGAGAGAAGCAATTGCAGGTTAATATCTTGCCAAAGGATATTAGTGCCGTGTCGGGATTCGAACCCTCGACCTTCGCATCTCCAAGTCAAGCGCCTTAAACCACTCGACCACGACACTCCTTATTTTCATAATTTCAAACACGATTTAAAAGAAAGTATATTAGATCTAGGTCTAGATTGTCTTTATGTAATTTTAGGATCCTCTTTCCACTGTGGTATCAGATTTTCGAAATCTTTTGATTTTGAACAATGATTATCAATAATAGTGACCTCCATATATATATATATATGCCTCTAGACCTAGATCTAGATCTATTTCCAATCAAATTAAATGTAGGCCTACAGTACAAAGATCTTTTTTTTTAAATAGAATACTTGAGGCTGCTACCTCAATCCTCCACCCTCGGCTGAAGTGAAGAGCAAGTAATAACAACATTACACAAGAGTAGGAGAAGGAGAAAGGTGATCCATGCAGCTGCAATTACGCTGAACAACATGTTACCATCATCACCATGTACTTACATTCACAGTAACAATGGAGTTTGAGTGTCAGTCTAGGTCGACGAGCGCGAGCGCTGGAGTTAATAACCAGGACAGGTTCATTCAGCCGACATATCTAAACGATCTTTCACTTTCGGCTGACCCAGCTCCTGTGTGCTGATGATGTAGAAGTTTGCAAATCCAACAGATCTACAATCATCACAACTGTGGGCGTTATGATATAATAATTCAGCTCCGCGAATTTGAGAAGAGAGCGAGGATATTTTAGACACGTCTGAGCTGCACTGCCTCCACAAACATGTCAGCCGCAATGCAATGCCACATGACGTCAGGGGAATCCCCTATTATTCTCGATTTGAATGTACGTTGAAGTTGACTGGTTCTAAACAACAGAGCACGAGGATCACCGCAAAATTCAAACAACGGGCCTAGCTGAAGCTGGGCAAATTTTATTTGTTTGGACCATCAACCGTGACAAAGTTCAAAGTTCATGTTAATAAGCTAGAAATACTGCAAAAGAAGCCTGGGCTGTGAGGTTGATTACTAATTCTAGGTAGACGACATCCCCCGAGTAAACTCCTTATTTTTGCAACTTCAAATCTTTAGTAGCTGTCAAGGCAATGGTCTGGTGTTCATGTTTAAAATCCATGCTAGTTTACAACATTGTATACTGTTAAAATGTAATTGTTTTAAACTACCATCCACCATGGTAACCATGGTTATCATGGTACCAAAACAATGAAATTCATTGTTTAATGACCCAATGTATTTCATTGTTTTGGTACCATAATAACCATGGTTACCATGGTGGATGGTAATTTGGACAAAAAAACATGGTTACCACGGTACTTTTTTGTAAGGGATATTATTCATCAACATGATATACATTTATTTCCTTTTGTGAGAAGTCACACAGCATTGTTTTTTCTTTTTATATATTTGTAATAATAAAGGAATGGAATAAATTATGATGGGCTTCCATTTGATACTTTTAAAAAATACAACATGCTCTAAATTTAAAAGTATTCTGTCGTATATAGATACCTTGAATTTCCAAAACTTAACTTTGAGTTTTTTGTTTTTGTTTTTTATTATTCCATTTAGCCAGTGTTTTTTTTAGATTGATGCATAAATGGCTCTATTTGGAGCATACTTTTTGCCAAATTAAAAAGAAAACTGTCTTAAGCTCAACTAACAATAACATCCTCAAATCAAATGTAGGCTGGCTTACCTTTAATGATGGGAAATGCAAATTACACGGTCGGGTCTTACAGCATCACAAACATGCACTACTTATGATTTACTTCTGTCAAAAGGAACTCCATTTTACGGGGATGTTTTCGGTCAAAATGTGCCAATCACTACAGTTATCTTTATCAATATCTCTGATCAAATTGATGACCATTGATGACAATGTGAAGACAACCGTTCTTGAGTCATTGTTGATCTCAAGTACGCAATGGTGTCGATTTGTATCCGTGGTTGGGGGGATGATAGGTGCCAAAATATTTTCGGCAATGGATCAAAGCAACCAAGAGGTAGAAGCGTGTGGCAGGTTGCACCCCCTCCCTTACAAGTTATTCACTTTTTCTAGTCACCCTCAATAAAGAAAACATTTCAGAGAATATTGGACCCATGTGGGTCCCACATGGGCTTGCAACTTGGGTTATTATCCTCTCAAGCGTGTAGCAAGGATTTTATTTTAGGGGGGCGGTAGTGAGCACGCGAAGCGTGCGAATTACTTACAGAGCGCGCTCCGTAGCGGGTGGGTGCAGAGAGGGGGGTTCCCCGTCCCGCGCAAAGCGCGGAAGCTTTGATGTTTCATTATATTATTAGAGAAAGAAGACGATTCGTTGTACCGTTCTCGACTCTTAATCCTTGTCTAAATTCAGTTTCTTTTGACGTTTCATTAAATTATTAGGGAAAGAAGACGATTCGTTGTACCGTTCTCGACTCTTAATCCTTGTTTGAATCAAGTTCTCCTTCCTCCGCGCATAGCGCGGAAGCTCTGGCATCTCATCCAATTCTTAAATAAAGAAGACGATTCGTTGTACCATTCTCGACTCTTAATCCTTGTTTGAATCAAGTTCTCCTTCCTCCGCGCATAGCGCGGAAGCTCTGGTATTTCATCCAATTATTAAATAAAGAAGACGATTCGTTGTACCATTCTCGACTCTTAATCCTTGTCTGAATTCAGTTCCCCCCCCCTCCCCTTCCCGCGCGAAGCGCGGAAGCTTTGACGTTTCATTACATTATTAGAGAAAGATGACGATACGTTGTACTGTTCTCGACTCTTAATCCTTGTCTGAATTCCGCCCCCTCCCCCTTCCCGCGCAAAGCGGGGAAGCTTTGAAGTTACATTACATTAGTAGAGAAAGATGACGATTCGTTGTACCGTTCTCGACTCTTAAACCTTTTTCTTCCTATGTCATCTTCCTTTTTTCTTTTTCTCTCTCTCTCTCTTTTTTTTTTGACTGGTTTTTTTGGGGGGGAGGGAGCGACCTCCCCCACTGCCCCAACTTAGCTACGCGCCTGTATCCTCTCTGTCTCTCATTATCTCTCTCTCCCACTATCTACTTTTTTTTCTGCACTTTTGCGCTTCGCGCTTAACATTTAACTCGTTGCTTTTTAACGCTGCGGCTTTTCATTTGGCGCACTGCATTTCTATGATGCTGTTGATTATATATAAATTGAATAAATTCATCATTTCCTGATGAAGCCGTTAGAGCTAGAATTCAATTTATTCTTATCTCATATACGGTTGTCTCATTTACGTATGTATTATGAAAATGAGATAGCAAAATGTGTATATTGATTGTCATCTTGCGAGATATAACCACTAACTACTCTCATCAAGCTCTCATCATTAATTTTTCTCTTCATTTTGTTGTTGTTGATGGCGAATTATTGGGGGGATGATTGTACAGGCCACCCCCCCCCCCCTACCCGAAATATTGGGGGGATATATCCCCCCCATCCCCCCGGGATCGATACCCATGCAAGTACGTTTTCAGCAATCGAAGTTCACTAAATGAACGCTCAGAAGAAATATTAGTACGTGCGAAGGTCACTATTAATTTTCAGAAGGGTTGTTATAGATGAATATGTCGTTTCCATTGAACAATCAGTCATGAGGTTTAGAAGATACAAGGGATTAATTTCTTCGTCAACCAATGTTTGAACTTCCGGTAATGTCAATGTAACAATGACGCGTCTATATCTGATCGGCTCAAGGATTACCAGAAAGGGGGAGGATGTGGGCGAAGAATTCAGGGTGTACATATTTTTTTCTCGAGAGTTCAGTTTACTTATTTATCTTCTTTGAGAGGTCATTAGCTCAGTGAGTATTGTCATAAAAATGGAAGAAAGTTCTTTATATTTGTCTATATATAACAACATGTACATTAAGGTTTTTATCGCGTTATTAACTTTAATGTACACATTTACTTTTCATTCTGATTATACTAAAGTTTAAGCTCTATGTCCTCTACATTTGCCACTTTCCACCCAGGCCTTTAGCGCCTTTCATGGTGGCTCAGCTACAGCGGGGGCACAGAAGAGTATATTCACGTAGTATCTGCACTATATAGATGAACATATTATCATCATCGTCGTCGCCGTCGCCGTCGTCATCATCATCATCGTCGTCATCATCATCATCATCGGGCCTAAAATAAAAACTTGTTGTATTGCCCTTTGGGTGCCAAAACATGGGTCGGTCGGAATTTTTTTTTGTTAATACTTTTTTTGTCGCCCTCTTTTGGCTGATATTTCTCAGTTTTTAATGCTTTAATACATGTGTTTCAACGTCATCATTCCATTGATATCTTTTTTCACCTCATAATCATCCATGGTTTGCACTTTGCACGAGTGAGAATTTTGGAATAATTTGATTTTATGCATTTATATCCCATTTAAACAAACAAAATACATATTTTTGTATTCATTAATTTTAACAAAAAACGGTTTAAAAAAAAAAAAAATTTTAAATGCTGACAGTAGATTTTCAGATTTTTGGGTCGGTCGCAAAGGGCAATACAACAAGTTTTTATCGTAGGCCTTATCATCATCATTATCATCATCATCATCATCATCATCACCATCATCATCATCATCATCAACATCATTATTCATTGTAATAAATAAACAAAGAGACAATCTTTTGAAAATACATTCATACCTTTAATACAAGGAGATTATAAGTCGAAAGATAATCAAGAAAGTCCATGAGTAACTAACAATAAAAACTCATTCCATACAATACATATCTCATAAATTGTACTTTTAGATGCCTCCTCAAATAAACATTTGCATACTACATACATTAGAAATTTGGGGATTTTCCTCCTTTTTTTTCTGGGGGGGGGGGTTATCTTTTGTATATATTATATATTTCCTGTAATATTTCATACATACACAACTTTTTAAGCATCCTATGAGCAAGAAATTTGAAAGGTTGCCCCTTTAATTACCCAATAGATTTAGCCCAATATTCATAACTGCCTTACTGTTCAATCCCCAAAGTTATACACAATATGTTTTTACCTTGTATGTTCTCTAACACATGAAAGCAATCTGAATCAGAGTTTATTATATTTAGTCATTCAATACCTTCTGTCAAAACAACTTTTAAGCATCTTACTGCAAACACTTCCCATTAGTTGTTAATAATAACTATGATGAATGCTTTACCTACTAAATATATTCCAAGCACTGTATTTGTTTTTGAAAAAATTTGCCTCTCATAAGGCACCAAATAAATCCAGAAAGTTATTCCTATAACCTTGTTCCCCCATATATAAATAAACCTTAGTTTGTTTTATAAATACAGAAATCAATATTCCAAATGCCCATAAAATAAGAACATTGTTTAATCACCGGTGTAAGGGTCATTTGTATACCGTAGATCCTTGTATTATAGATTCTCTCCTACATCAGAAAAAAATAATCAATAAATAAAATGTCAAGAATATGTTTGAACACTTTGCTCGAGCTCCTAGAGTACCTCACTGCCGAAATCTTGGAACTCGCAGGCAACGCTGCCCGCGACAACAAGAAATCTAGGATTTCAGTCAGTATTGATATTTACTGGTATGCATATTATGAACATATACATGCTCATACATAATAACATGAATCCAAAATGTAACTATCTTTTATCAAACAATTGCATAGAAAGCCATTTCTATACATTCAGCAAGAATAGTTAAATCTTTCCTGTAAATGTTTACAGAGATTATGAAACATTACATATAAACTTCACTTCAAGAGGTCTGTTATTGCTATAAAGCG